ACTTTGAATTCCAAGATTTTTTTGTGAAATGATCTGCTTTTTACATCTGCTCCTGTATCCATCAAACCTTCTATTTCAATACCATTTACTTGAATTTTTAATTTTGGCCTCTGATCATTAACAACTGTTTTCCAGAACACATGTTTACTAGTACTTTCAAACCCTTCTTTTCTTTCTGCTAGAGCAGCTTTACCTTTGATGTAGGGAAACAGTATTAGCTGAGCAGTCCCATCACCTGTGTTAAATTGCATCTCTCCTTTTACATAGCCATAATTTTAATTTCTCCTTTGAAATGTTCATCTATGATTCCTGTATGCACAGTGATTCCTTGGGAAGTCAGTCCACCCCTTCCCAGTATCATCCCAACTGTCCCTAAGGGCGAAGGACCATAAACTCCAGTAGTTATTTTATAACATTGAGTTTTGGAGCTAGAGTAAGATGTTTATCTGTGCTCAAGTCTAGAGAATCACTGCCTGCAGTAGTGTGCATTAAATCTGCAATACTTCTAGGGTTTGTGGTGCACACCTTTAATCCCAGCCCTCAGAAGGCAGAGGCAGGCAGATCTCTATGAGTTTTGAGGCTAGCCTGGTCTACAAAGCAAGTCCAGGACAGTCTGGGCTATTGCACAGAGAAACCCTGACTTGAAAAAAAAAAAAAAGTCTATCTGCAATAGAGGGTTGAGGGTTTTCGGCCTGCTTGTTATTTTCTGCTGCTTGTTATTTTCTGCTGTTTGTTATTTTCTGGCTGACAACAGGCTTGTGACTTTTGCTGCAGATTTGGAGTCTGGCCCCCAAGGTCGTTTCCCAATGGTAAGAAATTACCTTGGATATCAATTTCTGGATCTGCATTTCTGAGCCCAGTGGTGGCCTTTGCAGTATCGTATACACACCTCAGGAAGCCTAGATGTTCTTTCTGTTTGAGATTTAGGGAAACCATTGTCTTTAGAAACAGGTTGTTCACTTTTCCAGTGCAAAGTACCATATTTCTGGCAGTTAACGCATTGGGAATTTTAAGATATGAGGCTTTTAGTTTGATCACCGTCTACAAATGACCCTATTTCATGAAACTGAAGCACCGGGCATTTTGATATCAGAGACCTCTAGTTATAACTTGACCTATGATGCTAGCATGGCACATATGAGAACCAATATCGGTCATTTCCCTTACCCATTCCTGCATGGGCACTGCCTGTGCCTTTAATGGTCTAATAACATTTTACATTCGGTTCTCACATTGTTCAAATGCCAAGGTCTCCATCAACACCTGCTTTGCATCAGGGTCTGATATGGCTTTCTTTACTATTGAGACTGGTCTTTGTTTAAAAAAATGTTTTGAAGACTTCTCCAGACCCTTCTGTAATCTTTTTCCCAGGCTTCTGAACTTTGTCCTCCACTCTTAAAGCCACCTCTTATAGTCACCTCATTTAATTGGATCTGCCCTTGTATATCAGAGTACCACCTTACAAACTGGTCTTTTGCTATATTCATTCTCCTTGCTCTATTTCTCTGTTCAGTGATTTGGGCTTCTTTGCTCAACCATGTTAACAGTTGGAACTTTGGACCTGCCTCTAGTACAGCTGTTACCAACCCCTTCTAGTCTTGGGGAATAATTCTGTTTTGAGTAGCCCAGTTATTTAGCATTTGTTTCACATAAAGTGAGTACTTTCCATATGAAATCATGTCCTCTTTGAAAAAACACCTTAGATCTATCATTTCTATAGGATGCCATTCTATCTCATCAAAACCCTGTTCCACACCATTAGCAGCCATGTGCTGTTCAACTATTAGGTAGGAAAGCTGATGGTAATCTCATAACCCCGGGATACCCCTCCTCTAATCCTGGTGATCCAAAGCAGTCCCATATCCTCACACCTGTATTAAAACAGAAACACATTCCTAGAATATTTCTTTGTTTTTTAAAGAAACCAAAATTCCAAAATTCTCACTATAATACATGTGACATCTTCCCTAAGGATGAGTAAAGGTCTAGGAAGGGAAGAGTCTGGGATAAACATTTTGAGACATTTGGGTGAGGTCTGCCTTCATAGAGAGCAAAAATGTCACCAGTTCATTAACAACCTCCACTCTTAGCTTTCTGGATGGAATACAGGTATTTGATTTTCTCTCTCATTGAGGAGACACACCTTTGTGATTAATAGTCCTGGTTCCTATAATACTTTTCTGGACTACAAGGCCCTTGTGCCCCCTACAGGAAAGGAAATGTTGGTTCTTCAAGTTATTTTTATAATTGGCTTACTGCGTTTTGTTTCATTTTGTTTTGTTTTTGTATTAAAGTATGAAATGGACTACTTACAGGGTTGAGCAACCAGAGCAGTTTTCAGAGGCTCTTTTCAGTAGGCTCTCTGTAGTACAGGACCTTGGCTAGTGTTTAATCTAGGTACCAGGAACTGACTTCTGAGGGAAGAGATTGCATCATTAATACTTAGAAGTGTTACATTAGCAAACAAAATAGGATTTTTCTTCTGTAGAATTGTCAGAGGTGTTTAGCACTGGAGCCTCACATTACCCCAACCCCCTCTCTTCTTTCTTTCTGGTCTCCTTAACTAACATCTCTCACATAGGACACAGTGTGAAACTGTGCCTTAGTTGACACTCATGCATCATGTAGAGCTCACCCGATCCAAGGCAATGTCACCATGAACACCCCTGGGACTTACCAATATAATAGAGGTTTCTGCTTGAGGGAAGAAAGAACCTTTTCCAAGACACCCTCTTGAAGGAACTTGGAAATCAGAGCACAAAACAAAACCCACATGTGCCTACTCACAGCTCACTTCACTTACTTAAATAGGCGTCAGATTAGAATAATTGGATCTTCTTAACCAAAGGCAACATGCGCAGCACAGAATTTAGTGATTTCCACCTTGAGAAACAGCTTCAGGTATGTATAACGTTAGCCAGGTGAAGCTGTCAAACCCAGACTGTCTGGTTGCTGTTGCTCTGGCTGTAGGAACAGTGAAGACAGAGAAGCTCAAAGGCTTGTTATCGTACAGTGAGCTAGGAAGGTTCACAACAGCACGAAAGATAGGTTCTGTCATACAGCAGTGCCTCCTGGGCTGAGGGGCTAGCTTGGGATCAGCCTGTGGAGGACTGTGAGCCAAGTGCTAAGGTTTTCAGGCTTATTCTGTCAGAAGTTTTGGTGCAGAATGAGTGGTCAGATCTTTGATTCTCGGGAGTAAATTCTAATGGCAAAAGGGGAACAAAACAGCATAATTTTTAAAAATATTTTAATTGCATATATATGGCCTCAGGATCTGTGCTTTTACTTAATCTTTGGGCCTGTGATAGCTGATTAACATTTGTAAAACTTTGGAGTAGTTTTTAGACATTTCAGTTTTGTGGACTTTAGATAGGTTGATTTTAAACTTAAGTGTTTTAAGCCACAGAAATGTCCTAGAACTCTGTGAGCATTGTTATTTCACATTAGGAGTATGTGTCTCAGTAAAGTTTGTACTTAGGGCTGAAGAAAAATGTTATAATCTTAAATTTTAATAGACTAATTCTTCCATGGAGGTAGACACAAAAAGAAGAGAGCAAGAAAGAAGTAAGTTGCCCAAAGTGACACAAGTAATTGGCATATCCAGATTGGAAATCAAGTTCTCATTGTCTTGTTGGCTAAATCAGAGGCCTTTTAAAATAAAAGTCAAAGTTAGATTTACTGCTCCACCACTTATGTGACCCAGGACACATGATTTTAGGTCCTTTAAGTGACACCATCTTTAAGACTGAGACACTGTGGTAGCACAGACTACAGAATTGTGATGATTTAGTAGTCCACATAATGAGGCAGTTCCATGTGAAAAGTGCTCAGATACTTCTAAGAGACTGTTGCCCTGTTGTTCTATGACTTAATTCAAAACTAAGTATGAGGTAAGAGTGCTTACCTAGCCTACTGGGGAGGCCCTGGGTTCAAGCTCCACCAAATGATGGATGTGGAAGAAATGCAGTCTACAAATTACTTTCTCTTTACCTGTTTTCTGCGAGCTTCCCCAGGAAGTGTGTAGTAACTTTTTTCTTTCTTTTTTTTTTTTTTTTAATGTGAGACCCTTTTAGGGGTGTAGGGATGTATGAGATTAAACTCTTTTTGTCTCTAAAAGGAAAAATCAGGTTGCCTACAAGGAGTAAGATTTCTAAAATCAGAACTGCCTAACAGATTAGGCCATGAAGAACAGGTTTGTGGCGGCGGCTCAGTGCCTGCACTGCTGCCTCACCCCCGCACACATGTCCAAAGCTGTTTGCATTTACGCTGTGGTGAACACCCTGGCGGGGAGCCTGAGTGACCTAGATTGTTTCTGTGGTTTTGGAAATTTTGGTTCAGGTTTTTATAATGTTAGAGTTAAACAAATTGGCATGATGACAAATGAAGTATAATTTATCAAGATGAGGAAGGTTGTCGCTTCCCTTGGTATTGCCCGTATGGAAAACCAGAGCTTAATAGTAGAGTGGAAAGTGCAGCTGAAAAGCATGCTACAGTGAAGTCATAACCCTCCAGTCCCCAGACTTTCCCTTGAGGTTCTTTGTTGGATATAGTGAGGATTAGCTATGCTTTAGTCATTATAGATAGGTTTTTTTAAATAGTTTGGTACAGTGGAAAATGCTTAGGTCCATCAAACCATGAGAGTTATATGCAAAGTTTGACAAATGTTGCATGCTGACTTCACTCCTAAGAAAATTACCTGGCCACCGTAAGATGTGTTATTCTTTTAAGATGTGTTTTCTGTCACCTCCCTGTTCCTTACCCGCAACCCTTATCAAATCAGAAAATCTGCTTGATGTACAGTGATATGTCTTGAATATCTCCATTAGTTTGCAGTAGTTACCCCAGGCCTGCATGTTAGCCTTCAGTTTAATGGCCTTTTTTATGTTCATTCATTTTATTTTATTTCCCATCGTGGTTTTGTTTATTTCTTTTTTTTTCTGTTCTCTTTAAAAACCGTCGTGGTTTGCCCTTCATATTCCCCAATGTTTGCACATGACAAGATGTTGCCATCCCAACATTACCTCCCACTTCACTGACCAGTGCCACTACTGACCATCTAGCACCAGCCACAACGGGACCACTGCCTTCAGCTCCTCGGGATGTCGTGGCCTCCCTGGTCTCTACTCGCTTCATCAAACTGACATGGCGCACACCTGCATCCGACCCTCACGGGGACAATCTCACCTATTCTGTGTTCTACACCAAGGAAGGGGTGGCTAGGTAAGTGCTGTGTCCTTGGAGCCAGTGGGCAGCATCTTGCATCCCTGCCTCGCCCTGCTTACCTCATTATTGCGCAGGATTTATACGAATTTTCAATCCAGAAAATAAAATCATTGGAGTTTGTCTTTTCTAATGTTATTTAGATCATTATATAAACTCCAAGCACATTGAAATCCTAGAATTCTAGTCTTTTTTTCCCTGCCTTTATGAAATAATGGGAGAATGCAGATAAAGCTGTTTAGGTTGAAACATCAGATGCAGCCGGGACTGTGCCTAGTATGTTTTGTTTACTGATTTTAGTTTAGGGACTCAAACCAGATCAAATCAATGTGCATGCTAGGAAAATGTTGCCACTGAAACATGTCTCTGACACTCATAAGATTGATTCAGAGTGTAGAGATTAAAGGAGGTTTAATTTATTAATCAAATGAATTTAATACTGTATCTTCAGGGTCTTTTTGATGTCACAAGAGGACTCAAGAGTAATTTCCCTAAGACTGCACTGTTGGTAAATTGCCTGTTATGTCCTCCCATCTCAAGAGCTCATACTGTTCATAGGAGGATGTATAGGCTCTCCAGACCACTTCATCCCACAGCCTGGCCTTATTTGTCTGTGTACCCTAATTTTCCTTCTCAGTAAACTCATTTTCTAGTGAAGCCAGTCTAAAAACTAATACTGACGATTAGTTATAATAATGAGATTAACTTAAGGATGTTCAGTTATTTCACATGTATTTATATTGTTTTCCCCGCCAAATTATGAACTCTGTGAAAGGTCTGTGTCACCTGCTAACTGTTGTATATTCTTTCAGTGTGCTCAGCTTTGGGCCCTAACATGTCAAGTAACAATTATTTTTTTGCTAGTGTTCCTGTAACTGCTATATATGGACAGTATTTCTGGCCAGACCACCAAGCTGGCCAGGTGCAGGACCCCATGATTTTACCTCATCACATGTCTCAGTAACATAATTTTATCCTGATAGATTGGACTACACATCAGATGATTACTGAAAACAGGTTGGTTGAGATTTTACAAAGTCCTGAACATAAAAAGATGGTACAGTGTTACCAGTCTACTGAGCATGAAAGACATTAAATAAAACAGAGGAAGTTAAGAGAGTGGTAAGTGCTAAGAACAAAAAACTGAAAAATAAAACAGCATAAAAATAAGAAATAAAACAACAAAACCTCCCCAAAACAAAACTCACACCGGCAGAGTGGAAGGATGCAGTAGCAGCACACGGACCTTAAGGAGTTACAGTATCAATGGCAAAATAACCTACAGGTGACTCTAATGTCTTAATTGTAAATGTCATGTAAGTTCAGAGAAGAAGGAATCCAGTTATTCTTATGCATAATTTCTACAACAGGACCTTTGCCTTATTAATCCATCTGCCTTAAATACATTTCCCAAACAAATACTTATGTTTGGCTTCCTATCTGTCATGCTCTGATTACACCCCTCAGGCCTTCCCTAAATGCCCACACACAAGTTCCTATTCACTTTTACTCTGTATTGGAGCCATTTTATCCCAGTGCCATTTGTTAAATTTTTAGATTTTACAAATCTTATGATGGCAGCCAGAAGAGGGCCAGGTGAGACCTTTTACAGTGACAATCACACAACATAATAGTTCACTTTCCATGGCTGATGTGATGATGGTGAGACCGTAAACCTCACCTCCCTAACCCAGAACTTTTGGTAGAAAGCAGTATGAGATTAAAAATGGAGTGCACATTTGGAACCACGTGTTGGAATGCCAGGAACTATCTGGGCATAATCAAACAAGAATGGACCATTTTACACTCTCAAGAATTGTGCCCTCTGACGGTATTAACAGTTTGTAGTTAGCAGTATTTTTGAGAGTACTTTTCAAGGATGTGGTAGGAGAAAGGGAAAAAGCCAGAGAAACAGCAGGTTTGTTAATCTGAACACTGCAGTTAATAGCCTGGATAAAAATAAGAGCAGTGACTTACAGTGGGTAGGGAAAATGTGGGAAGTACATTAAAGAAGATTCTTTTAAGCCAGATGTGGTGGCACACCTTTAATCCCAGCACTGAGGAAGGCAGAGGCAGGTGGAGCTCTGTGAGTTCGAGTTCAGGATGGCCAAGACTACACAGAGAAACTCAGCCTCCAAGTGGGTTCCCTAGTAAAGGAAACGGGCTGTCTCTGACATGAACTCGGTGGCTGACTCTTTGATCACCTCCCCATAAGAGGCACCAACCTTACCAGGCCACAGAGGAAGACAATGCAGCCAGTCCTGATGAGACCTTATAGGCTAGGGTCAAAGGGAAGGGGAGAAGGACCTCCCCTCTCAGTGGACTCGGGGAGGGTCATGGGAGGAGCAGAGGGAGGGAGGGCAGGATAGGGAGGAAATAAGGGAGGGGACCACAGCCATGATACAAGATGAATAAGTTATAATAAATAATAATAATTTTTTTTAAAGATAAGATTCTTTAAGAGGCTAAGTGTTGGGTGGGATCGGGAGGAGATGAAGGAGGAGGCTTCAATTGGGAGATAAAATGAATAAATTGTAAAAAATAAAAATTAAAGAATGGAGGAAAAATGAGGCTAAGTTTTGTTACTTCATTAAGCTTGGTTTCTGAATACAAGCAATGAAGAATAAAAGAAGTCTGAAGTGAAAAAATATGTTGTGATTGTTTTGTCTCATAAACAGTTTATTCAACCTTCTGGAACTTATATTTATTAGCTTAAAAAACAAGGATAATAAATTATTTTACACAGTATAATAATAATACATTGTAAGAATGTAGGCAAATTTCTTCTATTTCTGCATTTAAAAATTCCACCATCAGGTGGCACTGTATACATTGGTCATAAGTAGTTGTGTTGGGTACCCAAGTTGTGTAGTCCAGAGGGTCCTCTGCCTGTCTTTCTTTATACATACGAAATAATTGTACTTTTTACTGTTCAAAAGCCTGTGTTGTAAACATCAGTTATTTTCTGGTATTGGCTGTTAAATGAGATGCTAGAGTTACTCCCAGTGTTCAGAGTGTTCTCAAGGTGGATGCTGCGATGTTGCTGCTAGTCTACATCTAGGGTGCATATATGAACACCAGCCAAGTCGGAGCTGCTGTTTCTGTGATTCAGGACCTAATAATTGTTTCTATGTTTTAAAATAGTGACTTTTTAAGCATTATATAAGCAAAGTGTTTTGCCTCTAAGCTTTACTTTTACGAAAAAGTTGTCCACCCTGCCTCATTCTTTTATTAAATACCTAAAGAAAGTGGGACCCAAAAAGACCTAGTGACTTGACCAGTCTCTTGGCAGGCTAACAACTTTATCATAACTGGAATTAAATTACCTCACTTCTTGTCCAACACTGTCTTAATATAAAATATACGTTTTTCTTTCTTATTTGATTAAGCTGTAATATTCAAACCTCAATTCCATTGTAACCTCACGGATAGTCTGAGAATAGTGTTTTCTGATTCCTGTCTTGACATTGCTTTTCTTGCTTGTTTGTTTGTTTTTGTTGTTGTTGTTTTGTTTTGTTTTTTCTGAAGAGAAACTTAGTTCATATAGACCAGTATATTGGAGCCTTCTCAGATTGTGTTTTCATCTCTGGGAATCATGCTTACTCCTGATTTCCTTTTTATAACAATGATTCTGTAGAAATTTGTTTCAGATTTTAATAATGCCACTGATTTCTCCTACTTCCCCACCTTTCAGAGAGGAACAAGCAAAAGGTACACACATTTTCAGCAATATAAGATTTACACATCAGAAAGCAAATGTTTATTAATTCTGTATGTGTGTGAGTCTTCTGTGTGTGAGCACTCTGCCCAGTGCTTGTGTAGCATGTGAATGTGAGTAACAGTCTTAACTTCAGTCTTGAGTACAATACCATCTCCAGTTGTTTTCCTAGGAGATATTTTGTTTAAAACTTTATATACAGGTGAGTCGTCGCCTGTGCTCTATAGAACTTTTAGTTTAGAGAAAGCACGGTCTTTTCCATTTAACAGAAGTCATTGGTGATCAAAACAAGATTCAGAAACCTCAAGAAATCAATTGATATTCTTCCTCTAAATCTGGTAACTTAAAAGTTTAGACAAAGACAAAATAGTATTGTTGGATATTTGGGGTATTGCTAAACAATAATTTTTATTACTAAAATATTCTCTCAGGCGGCGTAGCCAATTATAGTGTAGCATCCTCTTTGGCTTCTTTGTTTTACTGATTCATTTTTTAAAAAAATTTTAATGAAAATGTAATTACATTGTTTGCCTTTTTCTTTGCCTCTCTCAAACTCTACCTATTGTTACCCTTCCAATTTATGACCTTTTTTGCTTTGTATACACACCCTGCTGAGTTGTGTGGGTTTTGTGTGTATTTGGTTATAATCAATGATGTCAGTAATGTTGGGGCGATTGCCCACAGCTTCCAAGTATTCACAACTTGCTCTTCTGTCAGTCTCCATGTGCTGTTCTTGGTAAGCCTCAGTTTTGCTTTTGAAAGTAAATGTGACTTAATGATTAGATTTTCACATGAGCTGGAAATTAAAACTATCTAGAATTATGCTGTATTGATCAGTTTCTTTCCAAACCCTTCTTTATCCAAGGGAGCGTGTTGAGAATACCAGTCAGCCAGGAGAGATGCAGGTGACCATTCAGAACTTAATGCCAGCAACTGTATATATTTTCAAAGTTATGGCTCAAAATAAACATGGCTCTGGAGAGAGTTCAGCCCCTCTACGAGTAGAAACGCAGCCTGAGGGTAAGTCTTTCACCTGTCTGTGGGCCTTACCGAGAAGGGAGACTGTTTGGAGTCCTGTCAGCTTTTTGTCTTGCGTAATGGCTTCAGGCCCCTTCTAAATGGAAAAAATGAATTTCTGGTGAACATAGCAAGTAAAAGGATAGTAATTTTCTGCTTTTCTTCATATTAATATATACTGATATTTTTAAGGCTTTCCTTCGTATTAATATGTACTGATATTTTAAGGCTTAGTTCAGAAGTCTTGTAGAGCCTTTTTTTTCTGATCCTATGTACTACTGTATCTGTATGAACCTAAGATACGTTATCACTTCATTCCTTCTGTTGCTTTTATTAATATAGCTTACTTATCTTATGGATAGTTTCTGTAATGTCTAATGTATTACTTTGCACAGTAAGTGGTTATTTATTGTTGTTGCCAGCTGGAGGGCCCTGTGTTGGCATACCTTACTAGTTAGAACCTCTTGGTGCTTTTACTTTGGATCTGTGTGCTTTGGGGCTCAATAGTGTTGCCTACAATTACATTTCTAAGTTTTTTGTTGTTGTTGTTGTTCTTTTTTTTTGTAACTAAGGAAAGTGTCAGGTTGGTTTATATTATAAATGTCCTGTATGCCTTGTTTTTTGGTTATAAACTACAGGCCTGAATTTACAAGAAATATCATAATGTTTTTCTTCTTTGAAATTTTTGAACTTTTACTTCTCACCATAAGCCATGTTTTCCTCAGAATGTTCTCTAGTTAAATTTTATTGTACCTACACTAACTTTTCTGTGTTCATGAGCCTAAATAAAAAAGACTTTGTTTTAGTACAGAGCATGTGAGATACTTTTATAGAAACTCCCTCTCTGGGAGCTCAGAAGAATGAACTTATCAATTATAGAGTGGAAAGAATTCAGGAACTTTACCTGGTGGATGAAATAAAGAGCCCTTAATTTTTAATGTTATAGAAAATTACTTATCAAATATTTGAATCCCTCTTATGCCAGGTACTATGCAAAATACTGGAGATACAGAGATGGTGAGCAAGTAGGATTTGTCCTTGGGTAAGCGGTAGTAAATGTGGGAAGGGGGCCTTTGATCACTGTAGTGATAGATACTGGAGGCCATGAATCAATGCTAGGTAAGAACACAAGGGCCATGAAGACCGTCCAGAGTTGATTTAAACTGAATGCATTCTTATTGCAGAGGTTAGGGGTGCTAAATTTCATAGTTGACTGTGTTCAGATTAATCTAATTATCCATTAAATTTCAGGCTTCATTATCCTTCATTAGCTTTTAAGCGCAGGCACCATAATTGAGGGATACCAGACTAGAAATCAGAGCAAGGAAGAATTTATATAAAAAATATAGAAAGGATCCTGGGAAAGATGGGGCCTGAGGTTGACTTTAAAAAGCATTTGACATAGCACAAGCATTCTTGGGGAAGAAAGCTGAATGACCCAAATCCCAGAAATAGGATCAAAACAGTTCACATGCAAAGTGAGTCATGATGAAAATGAAGGAAGGACCACTGGATTTGATCTGGTGCAGAAGTCTGTCCTGGGGCTGTGAACCTTCTGAAAGTGAAAATATTCGTGTCTCTATATATATCCACTTTCCCCCTTGGAAAAAGACTATATAAGCTTTCATGAACACTTCAGGGTTTCTGATCAAATTGTTGAAAGCCACTGAACTAGAAGAGTCATTGTCAAATTTGGAAACAAAAGAAAAGACATAAAGAAAGTGGCCTTATTGTGTACCTACTATGTACCTTTCACTGTGTTGGGCAGTTCAGAAATATATAAGAATAGTAAGGCTTGAATTCTGTCCGCAAGGAATTTACATCCTAGTACCAAAGACAAACAGCTAAATACACAATAGTGTGAGGTGCTGTCGTCACGTGAAAAGACATGGCACAATAATTTGTTGAAGAGCTTTGGTTAAGAAAGCAGTTAAGTGAGGTTATAAGCAGAAGGAACAACTGGTTCTGATAAAGGCATTTGGAATTTTAACATATGACAACAGATGCTGGGAGTGAAGAGTGACTTGTACCACCTGAAGTTTGGGGCATATGGAGAGGTATATTGAATTGGCCTTTGGGGAGTATTTGCATATTTAGCTTTATAAGTCAACTTAAAATTTGTTTGTTATGCCACTGGACAGCTGTTTTTAAAGAGTCGCTAGTGTCTTTTTAAAGGATCATAGTTATTAACCAGTGAGTATGTTGAAAATGATGTCAAGAGAATTTGTGAACTATTTTGTTTTCCTCTCTTCTTTAAGTTAGAAGAAAGTTTTCCAGAGCAATGGAAGTCCCACCTGTCAGGCTACACAAACTGTGCTGCAACATTGAACAGCTAGCATGATGCATGTTTGCTTAGTCAAGTAAAGCAAACAACTGTTAAAATAACTACATTTAGATCTTTCCACTTTGGTAGCAAAACAAATCTTATGGCATAGTGCAGTTCTTTGAGAAAGCCAGGTTTTTAAGCATTGTTTTTTCCTTCCTTGGCCTTAAATCTCATGATGTCTATAATAGTGGCATTAGTGCTAGAAAAGTTCTTTTCAGATACAGAATGTCTCTTAGAATATAGACCTGAACCGCTAGCTAAGATTTGTACACTCCTGTCAGAAGAGAATATTCTGAAAGGGTTGATATATGAGCCATGTGGAACTTAGATCCAGGGTCCAACAGAGGACCAGCTACGCAACTGAAGATGCTGTCCTAGTCTCCTTACAGATCTCCATAAGTCATGTTTTTTACTCTAAAAGTAACCAGTTTCTGGTCCACCATTATAAATTTCTTATCACTTGGAAAGATTCTTAACCTGAAAACTCACGGGGATGGTAATACTTGGCATCTCATCTGGTTAGTGACGAGACTGAATTAGAAAAGAGGAAAGAAGCATGTGGCGTGCTAACTTCACTGAACGTTTGACTCGTGAGCATTCAGTAAATGGAAGCTGTTACTAAAGTTGATGCTGCTTCTTTAACTGTTTTTGTTGCTTTGCTGCTTCTCTACCATTCGTGTGCCTACAGATCCTTCCTAAATGTGGATCTGACTGTCGTGTTTCTCTGTTCACTGCCTGTGGGAGAAACTCTAAACTGCATAGCAGGGCATCAGAGATTCCTCACTGTCTGGCTTTTGTTCAGCATTATTTCTCCTACATCCAATCTATGGTACAACCATACAAGTCATATGACATGGTCTTTCCATTTATCGCCCTGATTGCCCCAATAACAAATAGTCTTCTCCCAGATGTCTGAGAACCCGCTTGTTGTAATACTAAGAAACTTCAGTGGCCCTTCTCTTTCCTTCTCTAAGCAGCTCTTCACACAGCAGCCTTCTGTACTCTTTGCTGTTTCATTACAGCCACCATATTAATCTGCCAGGATTTACTAATGTTCCTAGTTTCTGTGCCATGCTGGGAGTTCTTCGTGAATGGGGCTTCTGCCCATCTCTGTGCTCCCAGGACCTGCTCAGTGTCCGACAGAAGAAAGATCTCTTCCAGTGATGGCTGCTTTTATGTGTTGTTGTATCCCTCTGCAAAACTAGATTTGGGACTGGGGAAGAGGGCTCAGTAATTCAGGTATTCGGTGTGTGAATCTAAAGACCTGGGTTTGGACTCCCAAGCCCCCACATAAAGGTGGCACACTCCAGCCAAGGGTTTGGGAAAAGGGACAGGTGGATCCCAGGAGTTCTGATCATCCAGCCTAGCTGAGACAGGTAAGCTTCAGGCTCAGGGAGAGACCCAGCCGCAAAAACTGAAGGTAGAACGTGATAGAACACAGCTGACACTATGTTCTATGACACTATGACCTCTGGCTTCCATACAGGTGTGTAGTAGCGAGTGCACACACACGTACTTCTGAGAGTTAGAAACCACAAAAGAGCTCTCTTCTATCCTTTTATTTTTCTAATTTTTAATGAATTGAAGATACTTCATTTGTGGCTTTGAGTTATGTAAAGAAAATACTTCAATCAAATCAATTGTCTTCTTAGTTTTTATTGTTTCTAAAATGTGGCCATTGTGACAGTATTGTTTAGAGCGGCTGTTGTGAACTGCAGGAAATCTAATTTATATCTTGATCACGTGGAATTCTCTTTTCAGTTCAGCTCCCTGGCCCAGCACCTAATATCCGAGCTTATGCGGCATCACCGACTTCTATCACTATCACGTGGGAAACACCATTGTCTGGCAATGGGGACATTCAGAATTACAAATTGTACTACATGGAAAAAGGAACTGATAAAGAACAGGTATAAAGTGACATGATTTTTTTTTCTTTTAGAATCACTGGTTTCTAAAAAGTAAGGGATTCGAGATACAGCTCAGTGGTAGAACAATTGCCTGTTATACACAAATATGCTAGTATTGCTTACCCCCCAAATCTTACAAAGGTCTATGGTTAGTTGAAGAAATCAAAGGTAGGGGAGATATATAGGAAATTAAACATTGATGGTTTCTGTCTTGTTGTACTGAGATTTATTTTGTAGTTTTTAACAGCAAGGGTTACTAAACATCAGATAATAAATTGCTATTGGGGCTGGAGAGATGGCTCAGAGTTTAAGAGCACTGGCTGTTCTTCCAAAGTTCCTGAGTTCAATTCCCAGCTCAAGGCCATCTATAATGAGATCTGGTTCAGGCAGAATACTGTATAAATAATAAATAAATCTCTAAAAAAATGAAAATAAATTGCTATGTTTTTTAATTAACTAATTGGCTTTCTCTATAAATAATATTCTGTAAGAGGCTTAAAACTGTATTGTGCAGAATTTGTTTAGTCATTTTGGCTTGTAGTCTGTGTGTGTATGTGTATACACGTGTGCGTGTGTACACACGTGTATGTGTACACACACATTATTCTATTTCATTCAAGGATGTTGATGTTTCAAGTCACTCCTACACCATTAACGGACTGAAAAAGTACACAGAGTATAGTTTCCGAGTGGTGGCCTACAATAAACATGGTCCTGGAGTCTCCACACAAGATGTTGCTGTTCGAACATTATCAGATGGTGAGTTTTTTTCCCCGTTGCAACAAAATACCATTCCTAGTACCCCTAATCAGTAGTAAAGTCATGTGCTTTAATGTGAAGAAGATTTTGTTCATATCCCCCATTGTATCTTGCTGATCAAGTCACTTAACTTTTTTGGTTTTAGTACAGTCTTCTGTGGAGGGAAATTCTGTTGCTTGTTCACAGCACAAACCATTTTATGGCTAAGGAAAATTAGCCTTACTCTATGTGCCAGTCATATTTAAATATTTAAAAGCTATAGTTTGACTCCCGTAAGCGGATGATCAAACATTACATCACTAGTGGAGAAGCAGACATATATGTATACATGCCTGGTTTATATTCCATGGAGAAAGGCACAGTTTTGCCTCTGTTGTTTTCCTATCCAAAATGTTTAACTTCAGTCTAAATCATGATTCAGCAGGCAGACATGTCAAATTCAGAAAAGTTGTGCAAGTTTTTAAAATTTAAAAGATGGTCTCAATTCTTAAAATTTAAATAATCATAGAAAAGTCTAAATTAAAGAAGAGTGAGACGTAGGCTATAAAATATGTGTCATTTTTGGTTCCTAGATACTGCAAGCAAAAACATCTGTATAGGACACTGCCATCATACTTACTAGATCTGTTTATTGTTAAGCATACTAAGTATTAACCATGTTATTTATGTATGTTTGATATCAGTTTTTTAATCAAAGTCGTGGCTTTCAAATGTGACTGTTGTATCTTGGTTTTGTTGGAACCTATTTCAGAGCGACCTGTCACTCTGTGGCTTGCAGCCATCTGGCAGATAATGCAGAAACAGTATGTGGTAGCTCAACCTGTGCAATTTCTCATATACTTAAATGGGAAAATTAAGTGAATTTTGCAAAATGTTAAGAGTTAGTGAAACTAAAGGAGAGAATACAATGTTCATTGTACTGTTCTTTGCTCTCTTCTGTGGACATGGCAATTTTTCAGATGAAAAGGACACAAATATAATTTACAGTTGGGGTACACAGCTGTATAAACATCATGATCTGGGAAAATTTCTGAGAGAAAAAGGCTTTTACAGCCTTTTAAATCCATGAGCCAGATTTTAACTGCACACAAACAGGTTGTCCTGCTGACCGCAGTACCGTGGAAACTGAGTGGAAGGAATTAAGTTTCTTAACATGGGGGTATAAGGCAGCACTTAGGGATAAGGCATATTTCAGGTCTTAGGCTGAAAGGACTACCTTGATCAGGGAAACCACATGGAAGTGAATAACTTAAATGTGAAATGGAAACACTCCTGTGAGAATGCTATAAGGAGTGAGTACCTGCCACATAGTAGCTTGCGACAAATCTCAGCTGACAGCAGTGATGACACCATCACAAGTTGTGTTGGAAGTCTCTCCGGCTAACTTACTTCTCAATGTGGAGAGCCTTTCAAAACAGGCTGCATCCTACTTCAGGCTGCTACAGCTGAGTCTCTGACTTGAAGCTCGTGTCACTTTCTTAGGCACTAGTTAGAACAGTGAACGCGGCACAGTCAGTTCAGTAGGTCCACTTTTCAGTATGTGGTCACCAGGTGATAGAGAAGCAAAAGATAAGAAGATGAGGTTGAAGAGCTAGAATTAGCATTGGTGGGTAAAGGGCAGGTTAGTTAGGTTGAGTTTTCTTTGCTGTCTGTCATCACATGAAGGGAGGTGTAGGAAGGTATGCGGGCCATCAGCTTTTAGATGTTCTTGTGTTAAGCCCCACTGTATCTTGGTTATACAACTGTGTCACCAAGAGGCCTACACTCTCCACATCTAAGTGCGTGCTGTCTGCTACACTGCTGCGTTGTGAAGCCAGATAGTTCACTTGTTGCAGCTTTCCTTGTTTACATATTTTTCTCTTCTGGAGAATTACCTTCTAAACCACTTTAGGAAGTCTACAAGAAAGCCACACTTTCTAATTTGTGTCTGTCTTTCCATGGTCCATATTGTCACTACCTAGTATGGTCACATGCCACATTTCTTCCCCTCTGTGGGCATTCAAAATATGTTTAAGTTTTAGAATGTTTCTGAAGTCTAGAAAAGTTTAGAGTCTAGGGCAGTGGTTTTCAACCTTCCTAATGCTTCAACCCTTTAACACAGTTCCTCATGTTGTGGTAAACCCCCAAACATAAAATTATTTCACTTCCACTTCATAACTATAATTGGCTACTGTTATGAATTATAATGTAGATATCTGAAATGCAGGATTTCTAATATGTGACCCTTGTGAAAAGGTTGTTTGACCCTGGAGGGGTTGTGACCCACAGATTGAGAACCACTGGTCTAAGACTTCAAGACCACTTTATATTCCTAAAGTTAAGTATCTGATTTTCAAAATTACAGCCTGATTTGAGTAAGGGTGGGTGCTCATAGGAAGGGTCTCACCTTACAACATGAATCAAGTGTAGCCACACGTCATCCCCACAGCTATCAACACGAGACAGTGTTAGCTGGGCTGAGACCTTCTGGTCACATAATTATATTGAGATTTCATTTGTGTTCAGTCTCACCCAGAACAACATGATAAGTGATGTGTGGATGATTGAATTGTGTCTTTTTTTTTTTTTTTAACCCTGTGTAGTTCCCAGTACTGCTCCTCAGAATCTGTCCTTAGAAGTGAGAAATTCAAAGGTAAGGCTTTGGTTCTATTCAATTTACTGTCATACTGAGCCTCAGAGGAACGTAGAGAGCCAGAAATTCCTTGGGCAAACATCAGAACAGTGAATGCCAGTGTTGTACCAACTCATTTGCTTTTTAAAATGTTAACCTGATAAATTAAAATGTAACTGAAAATCAAACAGGAGAATAAGACAGCATAGGTATAATAAAGCTGGGATAAGAACCCCACTTGCTTATTCTGTTTCTTTCCTTTCTCTGATGCTAAGACTTCTTTAGCTTCTCTGTCTGTCTGTCTGTCTGTATGTATGTATGTAAACATGACATTTGATATCTTAGCCATACAAAATCATGCAAAGAAAGCAAATTACTTATGATGACCTGATGCCAGTGTAAACCAAAGACAGATAGGTATAGATTTAGATGTCCACAGCATCCTTCCTGGTTCCAGTTCATGCATATCAGCCATGCATGCCTTTCAGATACCCTCCTGAGCAACATAAGAAGTCTTTTCAAAAGGTACTGTGGGATGCTCCTTCATGAAACACCCACCTCTGTTCTACTTCGGAGCTTTTGTTTGTTTTGTTTTGTTTTGTTTTTTTGACAGAGTCTTACTATATGTATATAGTTCAGACTGGCCTAGAACTTACTGTGTAGCCCAGGCTAGGCTCAGACTTGTAGTCCTACAGATTATGTCTCCTAAGATTTGGGATTACACACACTCCACCATTCCTGTCCATAGAAATTATTTAATTACAGCTAATTTGCATTCAAGGTGGGAAATAATTCTTACATCTAATAGTAGTTTATTTCCTAACCTGTATGTTTCTGGCCTTATATTTTCCTTCTAAAAACTCTTTTGGGACCTCTGATGTTTTAATTCAGACAAAATAGATTAGTCTGGACTCAAGCAGGAATATCCAAGCTGTGGTCATGGGCTGCATGTACACCAGGATAGAGATTACACAGCCTACCCCGGAAAGCAGACTTAAAACATGAGGGCGTTTTGGTAGTTTCTCTTGTGACATGGCTCTCAAGCATGAATTTTTGTAGATGACAACATCATATCTACCATGCCTGGTAGAGTAACTACTCTAAAACATAATAATATTCCCTCAGAGAGGTTTGAGGCTTTTTAATTAGTTTTGTTTGTTTGTTGTGCTTTTGTTTTGTTTTGAGACAGGGTCTCACCATGTAGCTCTGGCTGGCCCTAAACTCACTGTGTAGTCCAGGCTGGCCTCAAACTCACAGATACCTACCTGCCTCTGTTTCCCACATGCTGAGATTAAAGATGTGCATCACCACACCCAGTAAATTAGAATTATTTTCACTATTAAATCAGTATCTTGGTGACAACTCAAGTACCATGTGATCCATATGCTTATTCTTCCCTTTCTCCAGTGAAATTGGTTTAATAATGTGTGCAATTAGGACCAGCCTTTTGACGTGTTCCATCTCATCCTTGTACTGCTTTTTCTCAGAGTATAGTGATTCACTGGCAGCCCCCTTCCCCAGCAACACAGAACGGGCAGATTACAGGCTACAAGATCCGTTACCGAAAGGCCTCCCGAAAAAGTGATGTCACTGAGACCTTGGTAACTGGGACACAGCTGTCTCAGCTGATTGAAGGTAAGCTGCTTTGCATACAGTCTGTGGCTAAAAGGTGGTTCTTTCTTGACTTTTATTATACTAGTCCAAAACTTCTCTAAGCAGTTGTTTTATAGAAACAAATTAAAAATGCTTCTCAAAAAATTCTAATAGTCAATTTTTAACTTGATACAAATTAATGGAAAATACTCCTGCAGATTCTTACATCTCTGAGGGGTTGAATTGTGTTTGATTTTATTTCCTTTTTATAGTCTCCACATTTTCTGAGTATATAACACTTAATTTTATAATCTAAAAATGTAAGACCGACTTTACTCAGCCTAATTGGTAACAAAACTTATAACATTGCCAAAGTCATGTGACCTGCAGAATTTTTGAATAGCTGCAGTATTATAATTACATCTGCTGCTATGGACAGTGTAGAGTTTTAAAAATTCTATCAGAAATGGCTTTTTTATATAGCTTTTTTTTCTTATATGTATAACAGAAAAAGTTATATCTTATAAAATGGAGCCAAATGCATATCTAATAAAGGATCATTCTATAGAGCACTAGGAATTCTCTTTTTTTATACAACTGTGAGAAATAGAGTAGGCTGAGCAAGGAGAGGATTCCTTTACAGGGGAGTCTGGAGAAGCTACGTCTGTAATGCAGATGTAACTGAGGCTGGAGGCTAAGTATTACTCACTAAAAGAGACGCAAGTGGGATTGGCTATGCTCAGACAACAGCTAAGTAGCAGCTGAATTAAATATTGTTTAAAACCTCTATAGTCTGAAGGATGACTATTCTCTATAAGCATGTCCCCAGTATCCACAGAGTGAAAAGCTTTAATCTGCATGAACATTGAATATGCAATGTAAACAAAAACAGATTCTTGTAGTCTTGAAGTATTAACTTGAAGCTTGCTAATGGAATGTACAGGATGGATTGCTAAGAGTTTGTGTCATTTGGAAATCAATCTGGCACTTTCTCAGAAAATTGGGACTATCCTACCTCAACACCCAGCTACACCTTTCATTGGTGTATACCCAAAAGATGCTCCACCATAAAACAAGGACAGTTGCTCAGCTATGTTCATAGCAGCTTTATTCATAGTATCCAGAATCTGGAAACAACCTAGAAGTTCCTCAGCTGAGGAATGGATAGAGGGACTGTGGCACATCTACACAATGGAGCACTACTCAGCCGTTAGAAACAAAGATATCATGAAATTTGCAGGCAAATAGGTGGAACTAGAAAAGATCGCCCTGAGTGAGGAAACCCAGACCCAGAAAGACACACATGGTATGTACTCATTTATAAGTGGATTTTTGCCATACAGTACAGAATACGCATACTAAAAGCACAAACCCAAAGAAGACAAGTAACATGGAGGATCCAAGGGAGTATGCATAAATCTCACTGGGAAGGGGAGATAGAATAGACAGAGGTAGTGGCTGAACAGAGAGAACAAGGTAGGAAAGGGATTGGAGAGAGTTAAGAGGGTGGAGATCAGACCTGGAGAGAGGACCGAGGTCTGTGGAGAAAAGAGAAACTGAGGGTGGGGTATCTCGGTGACAGGCTGGAAACCTAAGACAGCGTAGGTTCCTGGGAGGATGTGAGGGGGGACTCAAGCAGAGACTCCTAGTAGCAGAGACCACAGAGACTGAAGAGAACACCCTCTACCTAGACTAGTCTCCCAGCAGAGGGAGGGGAACACCGACCCACCCACAAAAACTTTGACCCCAAATTTACCTTGCCTACAAGATGAGCAGAGAGAGAAGAGATTGAGGGAATGTCCAGCCAATGCCTGGCCCAACCAAAAACCTACCCTATCAGAGAGTGCCAACCCCTGACACTATGAACAATACTCTGCTAACCTTGCAGACAGGAGCCTGTCAGAATTGTCCTCTGAGAGGCACTACCCAGCAGTGCCTCAAAACAGATGCTGAGACTCACAGCCAAACACTGGGCAATGAGTAGGGAGTCTTGTGGAAAAATGAGAGGAAAGAGAAAAGGACCTGGAGGTGACAGGAGCTCCATAGGAAGAACAACAGAGCCAACTAACCAGGGCCCAGAGGGCTTGCTGAGACAAGCATCAACCAAGGACCATGCCTGAACTGGATCTAGGCGCCCTACAAAGATGTAGCAGATGGGCAGCTCAGGCTTCATGTGGGTCCTCTAGTGAGGGAAGTGGGGACTGCATTGGACATGGACTCACTTGCCAGCTTTTTAATCACTTTCCCCCTGGCGGGACTGCCTTGCCAGGCCACTGGGGGAAAAAGACACTCAGTCCTGATGCAACTTGATGAGCTGGGCTGGATGGGAAAAGAAGTTCCCCTTTTCTGAGGAAAAGGGGGTAGGGGAAGGAGGGAAGAACTGGGAGGTGGGGAGGGAAGGATATAAAGCGAATTGAAATTTTTTTTAAATACAAATTTAATATTACAGATCTTTTAAAGTAAATAAATTTGACATTAAATATGTCTACTAAAATTAAAAAGTGTGTCAGACATTGAATTATACAGTTAATCTATAGTTGGAAAAAATGGTTGTTGTAGCACTTAAGATGCATTACCATATCTTGATGTCTGCTCTGTGCCTTAGTTTTGCTTTTTAAACTGTCAGTTATTTAGAAGGGAGATGAACTCAGTGTTTTTATATTTACTTGTCTTTTGCCTGTTCTTTCATATATTCTTACCCTTCTAGAGGGCACGGAATAGTAACTGAATGATTGTATTCTTTATTGAGCCATGTTTGTTTTTATTCTAAGGTTTTGTCCATTAGCAATTACAAACACATGTGAAGTATTTCTGACAAGATAGTAAAGGGCCTGGAGAGATGACTCAGTGATTAAGAGCACTGGCTGTTCCTCTCGAGAACCTGGGTTAGATTCTCAGATCCCACGTGATGGTCTACGATAGTCTAACTCCAGTCTCAGGGAATTTCACACCCTCTCTTGGCCTCTAAGGGCACCAGGCACACACATGATGTTACAGATTCCTAAAGGCAAAACATCCATGCATATAAGATATTAACTAAATGTAAGTTTTTTTTAATGGGGAGGTGGACTTAGCATTTGCTCCTCTTTTTGTCCTTGCTTTTTGTGGGAAAACATTTAGGATGGCTCATACAGGGCATATGCCAGGATTGGTTGCATTAGCTGTAGCATAACTTACACCCCAGCCTAGTTCATTACATTCTTAATTTCCTTATTGGGGTTTCTGTGCCATGCTGCCGTTTAAAGATCCCAATTATGTGGCTAGAGAGAGAGGTAGGATAATATTCAGTATCTTGTATATATGTGCTCTAAAAATGAATGTGTGATTGGGTGCATAGCTGGTCATATTGTCCTGCTCTGTGGGTAGACTTTTATATGTGAATCTTTGTTGCTTTTGCATTGATAAGTCATACACTTTATTAAAGCTAGTAGTAAATAAAAAATTGCATAATAGAAAAGTTTGGGTTGTCTTTTACTGACTATAAATACATTTGGACAACTGGTTATTGAAAAATAGATTTCTAGGTCATATTTGATGTCTAAATTATTTCTGCTGTGGTTATAGCAGGTCTCAAAGAACAGAGGTAACCTGATAGGAATTACATCTGTACATTCTTTTCTGGGTTTTGGTGTCTTCTGAAACCAACTGATTTTGTTCCTTTGTAACAACTTTTTACTGTCTTTGGTCATGGCTTCCTTTTTAACAAAATTGAAGGGATGGCATTAAATAATCCCAAAGGTGCCTTCATGCTCTTAAACAAAAACTCTTCATTTCCTGGGGGAGTTAGTCATTGCTGTTTTCTCCTAGGTGGTATGGACACTGAGAGCTACCCTGTATTGTATTTTGCTTGTTATTTATGAACTTATACTTTATTAAGATGTGAACGAAGTTGGTTGGGTAAGATGTTTCCTTTTATGGAAGACTACTAACCTTGTTTTCCAAAGCTCTTGTTTCAGCTTGTCTCTTGTTTGATTTTCAGGTCTTGATCGGGGCACAGAATATAACTTCCGAGTAGCTGCTCTCACAGTCAATGGTACAGGTCCAGCAACTGATTGGCTGTCTGCTGAAACTTTTGAAAGTGACCTAGATGGTGAGATTAAACAGTATACAGGAATGGCTCATGATGGATATTCTATTGCCAGTTAATCCAATTGGAAAGCTACTGAGTTTTTCATTATGCCTGTGGGCATTGGTATGTGTACTGCTGTCCTTCCTGTGAAGCAACAGAGCTCCAAAAGGGGCTGTTTTCCAGACATTGGAAAGAAGTATCAAAGAAGCGGGCTCAGAACAATAAAATGTACAGGCATTTACAGCTGAGTTTTGTTTGTTTGTTTTTTCTTACCAGAGCCTGTAAGATAATCCAAAATGTAAGGATTAGCCACATCGATTGTGCCTATATTTGATTTCCAGCTCACTTTTTCCTGAGTCCTGGAGACATTGTACTTTCTCTCACCTGTTTGTTCAGTAATTAACTCCAGATGCTTATGTGTAGGCCTTTTTAACAGTGACACTGTTAGATTTGGGGACATCAAAGACTTGTATTTCTATTCTAAGTTTCAACTAAGGTAGCAATTTATGTCTTGAGTAATATACATGAAAGATATCTTAAACTGCCACCTTTTAAAACCTGTTAGTTAACAATGCAATCAGTTGTGGCTTCAGTGTCTTTTTTTTTTTTTTTTTTTGGATCATTGATTATCTAGGGAAATAAATAATTGGTACCATTGTTGTACTAAGATATTTGATCAGCCTATTGACAGCAGGTTTCTAATGTGTTGTTTTACCTTTGTGATTATGCCTGTAGAATTTAGGAAATGGAATAAGCAAGATTTTGAGTTTCATTTTCTTCTTAGAAAAAAATTAAAACCATAGGCCAGATTTCACTGTAGCTATAGCTACACTGTAGCTGTAGGTTCTCTTTGAATTTTTGGCTTAAAGAGGCGGGGGGGGGAGATTTCTTAAAAGCCCAAATATTTTGACAGGAGCTAAACATCCTTTCCCAAAAGTAAGGAAACATCCTACAGGAAGTACATCTTATTTTCCTTTTCTTCTTTTCTCCTCAGAAACTCGCGTTCCTGAAGTGCCTAGCTCTCTTCATGTCCGTCCACTTGTTACCAGCATCGTGGTAAGCTGGACTCCTCCAGAGAACCAGAACATTGTGGTTCGAGGTTATGCCATTGGTTATGGCATTGGCAGCCCTCATGCCCAGACCATCAAAGTGGACTATAAACAGCGCTATTACACCATTGAAAACTTGGGTATGTGTGCCAAGTAGAAGAGATAATCATACATGTGATTTTTTTTAATTATTACATTATAATTTTATTTTACAGAAAAATTGTGGCACTTGTGGAGTACAGAATTTTTCTATATTTTTCTTATACTCTTCACCCAGATTACGCAGCATTAACATTTTTCCACATTTCCTTTATCCTTTTTCGTTTTCCTTTATATACATTTCTTCTGAAACATACAAAAGTCAGTTGCAGACATAACTCCTACTAATAATTAACTTTAACATGAAATTCTACTAAAAATGTTCTAAATAGCCTACTTACTGAAATAAAGACATTAAAATTGAGGTAGAATTTTCATATTTGGTATATTTCTCACCATTGTTCTTTATGACAAAAGAAAAATGCTGTTTTCTGTTTCAGGATCAGTGTTGAGTATAGTTATCATGTCTCATTAGCCTTTGTCTCATTAGCTAGGTCTGTGTTTTATTTTGTTTTGTTTCCTGACCTTGGTGAATGACACTTAAAAATACATATGCAGGCTGTTTATGTCCCTCAAAATAAGTTTGTCTAGCATTTATGCATTACACCTGGGTTTACACACTTTGGGGAGGAATGATGGAGTGTTGGGTTTTTGTCGTTGTCTCATAGTAGACACGCAGGATGATATCCAGCGCTTATTGTCACTTTCTTTTGTAATTAATGTTGCAGATTTTTACAAATATCTTGTTTTCTATCAAACTGACCTACTAGTTTTAGTGTAAATATAGTAGGTTGTTACCAGTGTGACTCTGAAGGAAGATTCCACTAGGCTCTTTTATTACACAAATTGGGAAAACTCATTCTAAAATTTATTTTTAAAAGCAAAAAAACCAAAATAGCATTTTTGAAAAAGAAAAAGTTGGAAAATACATGCTACTTGATGATAACTTACTAAGTTAAAATAATGAAGATTCTGTGTGATAATGATACAAAGCTAGAGGTTGTACATTAATGGGATGAACCAAAGCCCAGAAATAGATCAATGCCTAATATTAATATGTTCAGTTGATTTTTAACAAAAGTAACGAAGCCATTCAGTATGGAAAGGATATCTTTCTAGCTAATGATATGGGAATAACTGAATGTCTGTATGGAAGTGGGAAAAGAAACCTGATTTCTTATCCTGTACCATACCAAAAACAAGACAAAACCTAAATACAAAAGCCGAACTATAAAAATTCTAGAAGAAAACAGAAAAATTATTTATAACCTTGGGATGGACAAGAACACTCAAAGAACAAGATACCACAAACCATAAAATTGATAAAGTGGGGTCAGTGAAATGGCTCAGTGAGTAAAGTACTTGCTGACAAACTGAGTTCAATCCCCCAGGATCCACAAGCAGGGGAGATCTAACTCCTGCAATTTACCCTCTGAACTCTGGCCCCCCCCCACACACGCATGTACTCACAAACAGATAGATAGATAGATAGGTAAATGTGCTTTAAAATTTTTAATTGACAAAGCCATTTCATTAAACAAATTAATATAGATTTTTTTATGTGTATGGGTATTTTGCTTTTATGTATACCTGTTCATTACCTATATGCAGTGTCCATTGATCAGAAAAAGGGCATTGGGATACCCTTTTGGATTCCAAAAGGGGCATTAGAATAGGAGTTAGAGACAGTTGTTAGCTGTCATGCAGGTGCTGAGAATCTAACCTTAGTCCTCCGCAAGAGTGGCCAGTGCTCTTAACTTCTGATCCAGCTCTACACTCAATCTTTAATCAAAAATTTAAACTTCTGCTTTTGAGAAGACATCAATAAAAATAAAAAGGTAAGTCACAGATACCAAGAAAATAACAGCTGTCCAAATTTTTTACAGAGTTTGAGGCTAGGCTATATAAAAGTTTTTACAACTCAGTAAAAAGAAAACCCAGTCAAAATGGGTAAAAGGGTTAGATAGATGCTATGCAAAAGAAGACATCTGAGTGGGCAGTAAAGATGTATGGTGATCTATAAAGAAGATATGCAGGTGGAAAATAAGTATGTTAAAAGATGCTCAGCACTATTAGTTGGCAGAGAATTGCAATGAAATACCACTGTATAGCCTCTAGATTTCTCACATTTGCTGTTTAAAAAGCTGATAGTACAACTACTGTGTAAAATAGAGGATTCTTATAAAGTTAGCCATATGATTTAGCAATCCTATTCATACTTAACCAAGGAAAATGAAAGCACATGCCCACTTAAAGGCTTGAAAAAAATACTTACAGTAGCCTCTATAGGGAAATAATGTAAATTTCTATCAATTAGCTAATAGTAAATTACACTATATCTTTGTCATGGAAACTACTCAGTAATTAAATGAATTGCCTATCAGTACACTTAGCAGCAGAAATGAGTGTAAGAAGTGTGCTGAAAAAAAGCCAAACATATATAGTGTGTTGTGTTTTTATGGTATTAAAAACAGGCAAAACTTAAATACATGACAAAAATAATGATCAGTGATTTTATCCTAAGTACTAGGAATTGATGTTAAGAACATAGCTACTTAAATGACCTAATTTCTCTATTTAGGTATTAATTACATGGGGATATAAATTTATCAAAACTTACTATTTATTTAAATACATTTATCTATGCTAATTATACCTCACGGTTAATTTTAAAAGCAAAAAGTCAGAAATACTCCTTTCTTATAATAATGAATTATGGACCAGCAAGATGACTGTGTTAGGGTTTCTATTGCTTCAGCCAAACAACATCACCAAAAGCAAGCTGGGGAGGGAAGGGTTTATTCAGCTTACACTTTCATATTGCTGTTTACCACTGAAGGAAATCAGGACAGGAACTCAAACAGGGAACAATCCTAGAGGCAAGAGCTGACGCAGAAACCAAGGAGGGGTGCTGCTTACTTGCTTGTTTCCCATGGCTTGGTCAGCTTGCCTTCTTAAAGAACTTGGGACTGTCAGCCCAGGGTTGGAACCAGTCGTCATAGGCTGGACCCTCCACCATCAGTAACTAAGGAAGAAAATGCCTTACAGCTGGATCTTATGGTGGCGTTTTCTCAAGTAAGGTTTCTTCCTTTCAGATACCTCTAGTGTCATAAGACTAGCCACAGAGTGACTCAGCAGTAAAGGTGTTTGCCTCCAAGCCTGACAATCTGAGTTTGATTCCTAGGAACCACATGGTAGGAGAGAGCCAACGTGACACATTGTCCTCTGACAGCATGAAAGTGCTGTCGCATGTGCATGACTGCTCACATATGCACACACACACACACATATAAATAAAAATTACTTTTAAAGTTAATACAATAGTAATAATATAATAAATTGATTTGGGTGGGTATAAGTACCTTTCCAAATTGTATTTTCATTGTTAATATTTCTCTGAAAGACTTACCTCTTCATTGATAATCTCTAATGAATTTTTTTATTCAAACCATTGCTTTGTAAACATCTTTCCTAAGAATAGCTTTAAGTGCCTGACAAATGAGTTACCAGATCTTTTATGGAAGAAAATAAGCAATAGTTTATAAATATAATGTTAAAAACAAAATATACTTTCTGGTTTTCCTTCCAAAGAGAGACAGATCAGCTGAACCCAGGAGGCTTCTTCTCTACATGAGAAGTCTTAAAAGCAAGTGTTGGATAGCAAAACCAAAGTTTTCCAGTGGATAAAAATTTCCCTGTGATGACCAGCCTCCTACTGTTTCTCTTATGAGACTTCTAAGATAAAAGTCCTTTGCATTTCAGTCATGACTTAGTCCTTGGCCATCTGGAACTTTCAGTCTAGGGGAGAAGCAAAGCAAAACACAAGAAACAATGAAGTCAGTTAAAGTGAAGTGTGTTCAGAAAAAGGAATGCTGAACAAGGTGCATAGAACAATCCATAAAGAAGTCCATTTGGGGCTTGAAAAATTTAACCAGGTTAGTGTTTGATGCAAAGTAATCAGAAGGAACATAGAGTATGCAACAGAGAACAGTAGACTGTTAGAAAAGAAGTATGTATGTTGAGAAATAGGGAAAACAAAATGTGTTTGGCATGAAGTGAAATGTGTTTATTAGTCTAATTTAATGCAAGATTCATAAAACAGTGGAAGAAGCAAGCCCGAGGTGAAGAAGTTGATTTAGGAATTTATTTCTCAACCTTAAGCTCTCTTCTGACCTTCATATACACAAGCATCTGCCCACTAGATATCTGCATCTGGATGTAGCACATATTCCATCTGACTCAAATTTTAAACTAGAGTTGATTCTCTTTGCCCAAATCTTTTTTTAATCATTTAACAGATGATTAATGAACACCTACAATGTCTCAGACATTGTATAGAGAGAAAGCAAAGAAACAGACATTACATAGCTAATAGAAACAATACTACAGGGCAACAGTAATAAAAACTGCATGGTATTGGCATAGAAACAGAAAGGAGGATCAATGGAACCGAATAGAAGACCCAGAAATAAACCCACACACCTATGAATACTCAATATTTGACAAAGAAGCCAAATCCATTCAATGGAAAAAAGACAGCATCTTCAACAAATGGTGCTGGACCAACTGGATGTCTACATGCAGAAAAATGAAAATAGATCCGTATTTATCACCCTGCACAAAACTAAAGTCAAAGTGGATCAAGGACCTCAACATAAAACCAGATACTCTAAATCAGTTGGAAAAAAAAGTGGGGAACAGCCTAGAACTCATTGGCACAGGAGACAACTTCCTGAACAGAACACCAACAGCACAGGCTCTAAGAGCAACAATCAATAAATGGGACCTCATGAAACTGAAAAGCTTCTGTAAAGCAAAAGACACTGTCATCAAAACAAATAGACAGCCTACAGATTGGGAAAGAATCTTCACCAACCCTTTATCTGACAGAGGGCTAATATCCAGTATATATAAAGAACTAAAGAAGCAGAAAAGCAACAAACCAAGTAATCCAATTAAAAAAAAATGGGGAACAGAGCTAAACAGAGAATTCTCGAAAGAGGAATATCGAATGGCAGAGAAACACTTAAAGAAATGCTCAACCTCATTAGCCATTAGGGAAATGCAAATCAAAACGACCTTGAGATTTCACCTTACACCCATCAGAATGGCCAAGATGAAAAACTCAAGATGACAACACATGCTGGAGAAGTTGTGGAGAAAGGGGAACCCTCCTCCACTGCTGGTGGGAATGTAAACTGGTACAACCACTTTGGAAGTCAATCTGGCGCTTTCTCAGACAATTAGGAGTAGTGCTACCTCAAGACCCAGCTATACCACTCCTAGGTATATACCCAAAATTTGCTCAAGTACACAACAAGGACATTTGTTCAACCATGTTTGTAGCAGCTTTATTTGTAATAGCCAGAACTTGGAAACAACCCAGATGTCCATCAACGGAGGAATGGATACAGAAATTGTGGCATTTTTACACAATGGAATACTACTCAGCAATCAAAAAGGAGGAAATCATGAAATTTGCAGGCAAGTGGTGGGATCTAGAAAAGATCATTCTGAGTGAAGTATCCCAGAAGGAGAAAGACAAACATGGTATATACTCGCTTATATAGACCTACAAGATATGATAAACATAATGAAATCTACACATCTAAAGAATCAAGAAAGTGGACACAGGTGAAGATGATCAGTCCTCGTTAGAAAGACAAATGGGATGTGCATTGAACGTCTGACAGGAGTCTACCACAAAAGGCATCTGAAAGACTCTACCTAGCAGTGTTTCAAAGCAGACACTAAGACTCATAACCAAACCCTCGGCAGAGTTCAGGGAATCATATGAAAGAAGGGAAGTTATTATGATGGGGAAAGGATAGGAGCTCTACAAGGACCAAATATATCTGGGCACAGGGTCTTTTCTGAGACTGACACTCAACCAAGGACCATCTATGGATATAACCTAGAACTTCTGCTCGGATGTGGCCCGTGGTAGCTCAGTAACCAAGTAGTTTTCCAAAGTAAGAGGAACAAGGACTATTTCTAACAGGATCTCAAGGGCAGGCTCTTTGACCTCCCCACCCCCCTAGGGGAGGAGCAGTCCTGTTAGGCCACAGAGGAGGACTTTGCAGCCAGCCCTGAAGATACCTGATAAAACAGGGTCAAATGGAAGGGGAGGAGGTCCTCCCCTATCAGTGGACTTGGAAAGGGGCAGGGAGGAGACCAGGGAGGGAGTGTGGGGTTGGGGAGGGAATGAGGGAGCGGGATACAGCTGGGACACAAAGTTAACAAAATGTAACTAAAAAGAAAAATAAGACTTAAAAAAAAAAAAGAAAGAAAGAAACAATACAATCCAAAAATCTCTGAGAACTGATCATGGTGGCATGCAGGTGTAATCCTAGAGGTCAAGTAGAGCCAGAAAGATGATGATGATGATGATGATGATGATGATGATGATGATGATGATGATGATGATGATGATGATGAGTTTACAGTGCTAAGGAGGAATGGGGTGATAGAGCTGATGTAACTGGAGGGGTTACCAGTGTAGGATAAATCCTTGTGAACGGACAGGTTTATCTGTGTATGAGCAGAGGATAAAAAGTATCCTCACAGTAGAGAGCAGAGGTGGCCAGCAAAGAAGCACTGAGAACAAGGAGGAAATACCAAGTAAGAGAATCAACAAGACTTGATTGTTTGCCAGGAAGAGAGGTCGTAATGCTTCTCAGGCTTCTGTCCTGAGCATTAAGATTGACAGGGCTATGGAGGAGTCTGAAGTAGAGAAAAGAGCATGGGGAAAAGGAAAGATTTGAGGCATCCCAGAGCAAGTGCCAAAGAGTTGGAGGTAAAGGCCTGGTTTTCAAAAGGCATGTCTGTATTAAAAGGATGTGTTTGCAGGTAATAGCCTTTTCAAGCTAGTCAAGCCAAGGAGACAAATGAAAGGGAGTACAGAGAGTGCATAATGTACCTAGAATAAACCTCAGTATTGTGTGTTATGACTGCTCTGGCTCTGTCCCCAGTCTCAGTGAATGACATCACTCTGCTCTTTTTTTTTTTCCTTGCCACTCAAGTAGCAAATTGTGTTGACCCCATTTCTTATTTCTCTTTGGTATGGGAATACTAGATGCCTTGATATATTACCCTTTTTTATGTGGAGAGTGTATGGAACACCAAGTAAAAATCAATTTTGAGTTTTTGAAGTAATATAAGCTACATAAGCTGTGACCACCCTGGAAAAGTTCAACTGCCACAGAATTTAATGGAATAGGAACCCACCTTTCTACTTATGAAACGAACTTTGGAGTTACCCATACTAACATTGTCTGAATCAGACATGTGATGTCAGTATCTTCCGCTTCCCTCAGTGAAGGTGAATGCTGTTCCGCCTGTTCCTTAATGCCCCTCTCTCTGAATGTGACAAGAATCCTCTAGAGCAGAGGTTCTCAACCTTCTTACTGATGCGACCCTTTAATACAGTTCCTCATGTGGTGACCCCAACAATAAAATTATTTCCACTGCTACTTCGTAACTGTAATTTTGCTACTGTTGTAAATTGAATGTAAATATCTTCTGATATGCAACTCTTTGGGAGTCGAAACCCACAGTTTGCGAACTACTGCCCTTAGATTGTTCTCTTAGTCTCCATGCAGAATTACCATTAGGCTACCAAATCCTGGGTCGTGTCGTGTCTAACAAAGATGTTAACTGCTCTAGATTAGAAGGGTCCCTGGAATGTTGAAGATATTTAGCACTCTCAGTTTATCTCCTGTTTCTCTACCTTAGCTGTGTGGTCAGGGATGAAGGGGTTTGATTTCAAGCTACACTTGAAGGCTTTTGGCAACAAAAGCCTTATATCATACAGTGAACATCTTAAACTTTAGTAGACTCTGGGAGAGGAGGAATAGTCCACATCTACCCTGAAGACTAAACCCAGGAAATTGATAGAACCTCTGTTTTTTATTATATGTGCTTCTATCTCTATGTCTCTTCATATCCCAAAATAAGTAAAACAAACAAAAAAACTATAAACCTTTCTTGAATTTTTCTGCAATTAGACAGACACTTTTTATTTTATAAAATCCTATAGAAATCACTTTAAAAACTGTTTTGACTTCTTTCCCTCAGATCCAAGCTCTCACTATGTGATCACACTGAAAGCATTCAACAACGTTGGTGAAGGCATCCCCCTTTATGAGAGTGCTGTGACCAGACCTCACACAGGTAGGGCATCCTGGCTGTCTTGGTCATCTGCACGTATCCCAACTGCTTATGTATAGTATGACCCAGGGGTCTCCTTGAAGGGTGTTCATAAATGAAAATAGATGGCAGCTTGGAGTGCAGGCTTGAAATGAGTGATAGACTGGCTTTTCTATGTACAGAATTGCTGGTTCCTGATTTGCTTTTTAAACTATTAAGTGTGCCATGTAAGCCATTCTCTGTAGATGTATACTTTTTAAAATATGTTAGAATCTGAATGCATAGTTTTGAGAGAGTTAACAGTAGTTTTTATCTTTTAGATATGTTATAACTACAGTGAGTGAAAAGTGAAAGACACACATACATACATACATACATACATACATACATACATACATACATATATATATATACACACATATATATCCATAAGATTATTTAGGTTGCACATCATAGCAATAAGTGTGTATTTTGGTGAAGCAAACATTTGTTTATAGTCAGATATCTGAGTTACTTAGGGAAGTATTTTTTTTTTCTGTTCCCTTTGTTAAGTTCATATTCATATAAAGGGATAAAGTCAAGGGCACTACCCATTTGATCAGTTATATGTATTATAACAAGTCAGTAATCACTATTGTCTTTATATTTAAATATCTCCAAAACAATATAAGTGTAAATTTTCTGTACTGCTATAAAACTCCTGACTTAGATCTGAATGAGAAAATTTATCGATGTCCGTATAATAGAGTTGTGAACTTTTTAATAGTCCTAGAACTGGTGAGATGGCTCAGTGGTAAAGAGCACGTGTTCTTCCTGAAGACCGGGATTGCATTCCCAGCACCTTCATGGTGGCTCACACCCATCCATAGCTCCAGTTCAGGAATCGACTCTTTCCTCTGTCCTCTGAGAGCACCAAGCACACACGTGGTGCACACACACACGTGAGCAAAATACTCAGACATCATTTTAAAGAGTCCAAAATACAAAGAGATTTCTTTTTATAAAAGCATTTCTCCATTTGTTGACCACAGCTTTGAGTCAGTATTGTAAGCTGTCTTCGGGCTGCTTTAAGTAACTAGCTGTACAGATTTGACAGTGTTCTTATTGAAAGATCATTCTGTCTCTTAAAGCTTCTGCTTTGTACCAATGTTGTTGCCCTTGTTTGATAGTTTTGCTCTGTGTACCTATAGCTTGCAAGTTCTGTGAAAAATAGTTTCAGTGTTCCAGAAAAAATATTCAAAAAGTGACCTTTACTTTCTTAAGTTGAACTACAGTAGAAAAACAGTTATTTTTTTCATGTGGTTTAAGAATGCAGAAATATTATGAATATACAAAGAAATGCTTTTAAGCCATAAATAACAATAGTTATTTTACTCAAGAGTTGGCACATACAAGATGTTCCTTAAAGACTGATAATTATTTCTGCATCTGAAGGTTCATTATCTGTAACTAATTAGTATGTATTCTGGTGGTCTTAGGACAAAGCCCTGTAGGCTGCCCTTCTTTATTGTCACTATTCATTGTGCAGGAAATACATACAGGAAGACTGGCATGTTAGTCTTTCAGACTTTGTTAATTGACTTTGTCAATTTAGATCTTTAGTTATATATAAAACCAGTTACTATAACTATATAAACAACATTTAATACCTGAACTTTTAAAATAAATGAGTATGTGTTTTTAGAAAACCTGGCTAGGAGTTGGAAAGACCCAGAGGTCCTGCTGTACTGAACTCTAGCTGTAGTCCTCAGCGACTTTTTTTTTTTTTTCACTCACTCTGGCCTCCATTTTATAATAAAGAGTGTGATGGCTGCATAAAACATAGCTCAAGTACATTCTTTCCTTCATCGAACAAGTACTGTGATCTCTAAAATTCGTCAGTGCTATGCTACTTGGATCCATGATATTCATGGCATTTTCCTTAACTCATGGGGACTTGTTCACTACCTTATTCTGACTCCTAGAGAAAGTACAGACAATTCAACATGGTATCAGTTTACTTTCTCTTAAGAAAAAGGAGTCTTTGGATAGATTTATCTATGAGCCATTTCTCTACTTCCTCTACACTCAAGATATCAGCAGGTCTGAATTGGCTTACCCACAAACATTCAGCTTTGAGAGACGAATCTTCACACATTCAATGATGGGTACTAATAACTCATGTCCCAAAATGCAGCCATATTTACTAGAATGTCACATAGACCATGAGCTTTATACTGCTTGTTCAGAAATTATACTCTGGGTTTTAAGAGCAGTTTTTGTTTTCTTATCCTTTTTTGGCAGCAGGTAACATTTTCAAGTACTTAGAAAAAAATTCAAGTATTTATATGTTAACATGATCACTCAGTTATTTTATTTTTAGAGTATCTTTAGAGTATGGTTGACAATATAATTAAGTACTAATTTGCTTAACATTTTCCTGCAATTTTTCCTTAAAAAAAAGCCACACATACAGTAGAAGTATTCTTCTGAATAAATGAGGGCTATCTATTAACTCTGGATTTTCTTTCTTTTTCTCCATTTCTCATTTTTCATTCCATTATACTCCCTTACATTCCCTTTTATTTTTGTTTATGTTAAAATGTCACTTCCCTTTCTTAATTACTTTTTACCCAGACACTTCTGAAGTTGATTTATTTGTTATTAATGCTCCATACACTCCAGTGCCAGATCCCACTCCCATGATGCCTCCAGTGGGAGTTCAGGCTTCCATTCTGAGCCATGACACCGTAAGGATCACATGGGCGGACAACTCCCTGCCCAAACACCAGAAGATCACAGACTCCCGCTACTACACAGTCCGGTGGAAGACCAACATCCCAGCAAACACCAAGTACAAGGTACTGAGCGTTTGCCTTGAGTGAAAAAAGCTAATCAGTGCTGCGCTCTTGGTTTAAAGTTCTTGATTCATACTTTTCCAGAATGCAAATGCAACAACGTTAAGCTATTTGGTTACTGGTTTAAAGCCAAATACGCTATATGAATTCTCTGTGATGGTGACCAAAGGTAGAAGGTCAAGCACATGGAGTATGACAGCTCATGGGGCTACCTTTGAATTAGGTATGTATAATGCAAACCCATGCTGCATGGCATTTCTTCTCTTTGTACACTATGAAAGCCTGTGGATGTTCACCTGTTGTTGTGCCACGCCCTCAGCCATTCTCAGGGACATCTTATCACCTGCTTTTACAAAGCGAAGGTAGCACATACTGACATCTCTCTAGGACCCAGTGGACTGCTGCATTTGAGTTGGGTTTGCTGTTTCAACTATTGTGGATTTTTGGGTCACTTTGCCAGAATATTAGCAAATAGTGGAATAGTATAATGCAAACCAGACTAGGTTTTAGAAATTACAAGGCTTGAATCTCAATTTCTTCCATCTTGGGTGGGGTGATAGTTTTATCACCCCCTTTTCTACTTTAGAAGGTTATTATAAGGTAAAATGAGAAACAGATGGAAAAGCATGTGGCTGGACACAAGAGATTATTGTCATTAATCCTGCTTCACTGGTAAATTGAAATTGGAAAAGCTGGAGTGACCTGCCCTTGACCAAGCAGTTGCCCAGCTGTGTTTGCCCAATCTGAACACCTTGCTGGCTAGCCCAGGCCTTCTTGGAAAGTAGCTCTGTAAGATTCTTCACTGAACTAGCCTTTGGTGTTTATAAGTACACAGTACACATGCAGGAGATAGCTAAGTAGGTGAAGACTGCCAGCACTGAGATCGTTTGCTTTTGGCCAGGTTCTAAGCCTATTCTTTCACTTCCCTTTGGCCCTCCTGGGGTAAGGATATGAGTGACCTTGGGAATTTCAGTGCATTCTGGCCTATTTCTGTGCATGATGAAAACCTAAACTTCCACATTCCCTATGAACTTACATTGCCCTTTTTGCACAGTTGCTTGGAATTTCTACAGGGAAGGGGGTTAGACTGGGGAGCTAGGAATATAGTATATAAAAGAATAAATAGCTATCCATTTGCTTGCTGTTCTGTTTGTTCTGTTTGCTTCCTTGCTTTCTTTTTTGGTTCTGACTTTGTTTTGAGACAGGGTCTCACTATGTAGCCCTAGCTGGCCTCAAACTCACTATATAGGTGAAGATGACATCCAACTCCTGCCTGCCTCTGCCTTCAGAGTGATGGAACTAAGGCAAGTGCCACCACACTCAGCTCTTCTATTTTTTTATTACAGTTTTTTTTTAAGATTTATGTATTTAGTTATTATGTATACAGTGTTCTGTCTGCATGTTCACCAGATCTCATCACAATCATAGATGATTGTGAGTCACCATGTAGTTGCTGGGAATTGAACTCAGGACCTTTGGAAGAGCAGCCAGTGTTCTCAACCTCTGAGCCATCTCTCCAGCCCTCAGCTCTTCTATTTTAATAATATCTTTTTGCTTTACTTTCAACCTATTGACTATTAAGAAAAAATATTTTCCCTTAGGATGTTTGTTTTACTAGGTTTTTCCATCTTGTATTGACACTCCAATGTTTTAGGAGGTGACAGTTTGAGGGACTACGTGAGCATTTTCCTACTTGTACATTACATTAAAAGTTCTTAGCTATAATGTAGAAAAGCCATTTTCTTTTGTTGGCTTTTCTGCTACATGAACAGCTTTTATTTATATCAGTAGCAGCAGCATTTGTGGTATGCTTTCACTGTAAGCTTAAAATGAAAAATACCAAGTTGTAAATTCCTTCTTAGAGGGAATTGAGCTTTTAAAAGCCATATTTGACTTGAAGAACCAGTTCTCTAAGCAAGAGAGAAAACTATTTAACACCTTAAAATGTCCTACCAAATAAGCCAAATCAGGTGAGAAGAAGCAGTCTGGGACCAGTTATGTAACTGCTCTCAGTTTTGGTGCCCTGACCTCTCAACCAGGGACAGTAGCACCTGCCCCTCTAGGTCGTCACAGCCTTGAGACGCTGATTGTATAACGTCATACAGTAGTGTGTGCTTGGAGTCAGTGACATTGTTTCTCCTGAGCCCATATACCTGACTCCCAGCCCACGGGCCCATGACCTGTCCTCATGATTTCATTTTTTCTTTGATACTTTGTGTAGTCTTCTTTTTATTACATGTGGTTGGTCACACATAGACTTTTATGATTGAAGCCAGGGGAGTTTGTCTTTCTTCTATACACTTATAGAAGTGCCTTATCAGTGAAAGAGATGGAAAATTGAATTATATTGAAATGAATAGTATTTGTTATTTTGTAGTTCCTACTTCCCCACCTAAGGATGTGACGGTCGTGAGTAAAGAAGGAAAACCTAGAACCATAATAGTGAACTGGCAGCCTCCCTCTGAAGCTAACGGCAAGATTACAGGTGAGATGTTCTAGACTGTGCACTATTCCAGGCAAGCACTGTGTAGTCAGTAGACGTGGAAGTGTGAGGTTAGCTTGGTCAGTGTGTGGAATTCAGTGACTCATGTTGGTCTTTTAAATTGAAGCAAGGATGTGCAGTCTGCCCAGAGTAGCATGGAATTGAGTGGCCAGTGGTTCTGCTTAACAGTACCTGGTAGGGATGGAACGTGCTAGACAGCCTTTTTTCTACTGAAGCTCCGTGGGTATGTTTATTTTCCACAAAGCTATTCACTCCCCAGGTAACTTGCTTTGAACTTGTGTGTCTAATTCTACGGGGAATTACTAGTCCATATAAACTATGCTCTTCTACTTTCAAAGCCCCAACCTATCATGTCTCATCAGGACTCGCTGCATTGTCCTCCTCTGTGGTCTGGTAAGGCTCCCCCCTTAGGGGGAAGTGATCAAAGAGCCAACCACTGAGCTCATGTCAGAGATAGTCCCTGTTCCTCTTACTAGGGATCCCACTTGAATACTGAGCTGCCATGGGCTACATCTGTGCAGGGGTTCTAGGTTATCTCCATGTATGGTCCTTGGTTGGAATATCAGTCTCAGAAAAGACACCTGGGCCCAGATTTTTTTGGTTCTTTTGCTCTCCTTGTGGAGCTCCTGTCTACTCCAGGTCTTTCATCTCCCCCTTCTTTCATAAGATTCCCTGAACTCTGCTCAAAGTCTGTGGTTTTCAGCATCTGCTTTAATATCCTGCTGGGTAGAATCTTTCAGAAACCCTCTGTGGTAGGCTCCTGTCCTATTCCCTGTTTTCTCCCTCTTCCGATGTCCTTCACATTTGCATTTCTGAATGAGGATTGATCATCTTACCCAAGGTTCTCCTTCTTGCATAACTTCTTTAATTTGTCTTTTAAAACCTTAAACAGAACATCACATTTTTGCAGTGTGGATCAGGAAGGCTCATGTTTGTGAGGCTTCGTGACGCGTCTGTGGGAATTGAGTGCCCCCTGGTGGAAAATCTGGTCTTTGTGGCCTCACCCACTCTTAGAACTTTGTCAGAGGTTTTCCAATACGCGATGCATGTGTTTATTTATTTTTTCCTCCTAGGTGACTATGGTTGGAGCTAATTCAGCGTGCCATACTATTGCTAAGTCTCAGAACTACATTATTTTAAATCTCTAGGCCCTCATGATGCTTTATTCAGATACTGTATCATAGGCATTTATTGACTTTCTGATTGCAAAAAGAAAAGCAGTAATGGCATCTCTTTTCCTATTAATTGCTTTGGGCAGGTTACATCATCTATTACAGCACAGATGTGAATGCAGAGATACACGACTGGGTTATTGAGCCTGTTGTGGGAAACAGACTGACTCACCAGATTCAAGAGTTAACACTTGATACACCATACTACTTCAAAATCCAGGCCCGGAACTCAAAGGGCATGGGACCTATGTCTGAAGCTGTCCAGTTCAGAACACCTAAAGGTAAAGCTCCGTGACCCAAGGGTTTTAGTATGTTATCTGAAGAGTGGATCTGCAGCACATAGAGACTGTGGGTAATGTGGAAAACGCTGGTAATGAACTTGCCAGCCTCACCATAAAGACTTCCAAGGGATTCCTTTCCTACTCACTGGCTGCCAAACTGGTAATCTCCCAGTCCCCATAGAAGGGAACTTTGGTTCTACCCGTCTGGGCAAAAGAATTGCTGTGATCTCTTAGTTTTCATCAGAGAAATCAGATGTGATTTTTTTGGTTTCCATAGAGTTATATTGCACATTGTGGGGACAGATACTCTTTTTCAACACATGCAGGCTGTTAACATAGAAAACCGTGTATGTCAACTTTTGTAGAGAACAAGATTGGAAGGGGCCTTTTATGTAAAGCTCAAGAAAATAAATATAAAACACTAAGCTAGGCAAGCTTAGGCCAATAAAATTAAGTTGGGTACTGAGTCTGTGGAGATGTGGAAACCTAAGTTTCTTTTCTATTGTCAACTTATTAGAAGTTTGTGGGAATTTTATTTTTTTCCTTTAAAACTTCTGTCTGTCCATCTTCAAAGCTGGTGATCCTTGCTCTTGTTTCCTCTTCCCCTGTGCTTGGCCTGTCAGCGGACTCCTCTGATAAAATGCCTAATGACCAAGGTAACTGAGTAGATGGCCTCTCTCTCTCTCTCTCTCTCTCTCTCTCTCTCTTTCACTCTCATTTTGTGACCTGTTAGCTTTTTGTTTCATTTTTTTCCCCTGAAAATCAATATTATGTGTTAAAAACCACACATGTACTTACTGGCCAAAGAGAGTTAAATCCATATTTATAGCCCTTGGGATATCTAAAAAGCTAAGGGATTTACTTAGAAGATAAATTCTCTGGTGGAAGAAAATTGAGTTGAATAAACTCAGGATTGGCCTTAAGTGAAAAATCAGGTTACCCTTAGATGTTAAGATGCTACAGTTAGAAGCAGTGATAAGCATCCGAGGCATAAAATGACCAGTGTACCAACCTTTCATATTTATAGCATTTAAGGTTTTATTTCTTTAAGTGAAAAGTTAATATTAAATTCAGTAAATACCATATTTTCCTTCTAGCATACATGAATCCTGTTAAATACGTGCTTATCTGTGACCAAGGGGTTCTTATTTTTCAATATGTTAATTTTCAGCTCTTTTTCTATTTCTTTTTTTAAGTATTAAGTCAATTTTTTAAAAAACTGACCGTTTTTATAGAAGGATAAAAAGTGTGTGGCATGGGCATTCTGCGAGCATGAGCCGTGATGTCACTGGTCGTGAAATCGTCGGTCGGCATTTTTTTTTCATTGTAATTGCTCTGGTGTCATGGTAGCTGTACTTTGTGATTTTGGTCTCTAAGAAGTCAGCTAAAGATAGATTTCCATACTGAAGAAGAATACCAAAAGTAAATTTGATAATTGCTCTTGTAGTTTAAGAATAGTAAGCAGAAATACAAGGTTTTTGTGTCTTGGTTAATGCAAGAAAGAGTCAAAACTTGAAGTACTGAGTTTCATGGCTTTGGACATGTGTGTGTATTCAGTAAGGCTTTTGTTGTACATCGGAGAAAACTTCAGGCATAGGTGTTTGTGGGTATGGAAGCATGAGATTTCATAAATCATTACATTGTATTATATGCAGAGAATGTAAATATGCTTTACTCTTTTCCTTCACTTGATAACTGTTACACAACACTTTCTGTTCCATACCTCTGCTATTCAAAATTCTTTACCTGTTGGTATTTTGGGTACTAGACTCATCCTTTGAACTTCTTGTTTATTCTTTAAATGTTAAAGAAAAATGTTGGGAAACACAGGAATATAAACAAACTAAAATCTTGGCAAACAAAGCATGTTCACTGGCAGTTTTTGTTTGTTTGTTTATGTGATGAAGTGCTCTGGAAAGTTTAATTTAAATGTAGGTACATGATGACTATGAACATTTAAATGTGAAGAACCCTAAAATGCTGAGTATCTCTGCCAAGTAGATTTTGCCTGAGCTACTGGCATCTGAAGAACACCTGGAATATTGATGTGTGTGTAGTGTGTGTCACTTGGGAGAAATGATAGCCTCAGAAGTAAGATAAAGTAACAAGCATGAACAATGGAAAAGGGATCAAAGACTAAATTAAACCCCAGAACATGCCCTAGAAATTCTGAGACTGTATGATAGGAGCCAAGAACTTCTGTTCCTTTATTATCTAGGTTTTTGGCTTCTGAGAACATTTGAAACATATTTAGCTTCTAGATTATTAAATGCACTATTTACCGAAGTTGTGTTTGGGCTTCTTTTAAAATATGGTTATTTATAGGAAGAAAGAGGAATTAATGTTAGCTCTAATGTTTTTCAGAGATAAATTAAGCTTATACATTTCTAGTCGAGTTTTATGCTTGAAAATATCTCTCATTAGTGTTTACTAGAGCTCCATTTTTCCCTCCGTAAACAGAAAGAGCATATTCTTCCCTGAATATATGTTTGTAATAGTTAACATTTTTGATCATCTACTACACACCAAGCAGTATTTACAGTGTTTCATGGTCTTAATTTCCATGTAGTCCCACAGTAGCTTATTAAAGTCGATGCCTTTAGTATCCCTGCTTTAACTTAAGGAAACAGAGGCACAAATGACTTGTTAAATAACTTGCCCGACATCAAAGTACCACTGTGTAGTGGAGCTGATGTTTAAGGGCAGTCTCTTGGGCACTGTGTGCTGTTAACTGTCAGGAGCAGCTTTCATTTTTCATTCTTGCAGACCTCTTTTCGAGGGCTTGCTGCTGCTCTCTGGCAAGTAATTGAGGAATTACTTGAATTGAGGAATATCTTTATGGAGGAATGGCTTCCCCTATGCAGTTTTACAATAACTGTGAAGAAAGAAGCTGAAACAAGAATAAGGATTATAAAACAAAACAAAGCAGGTGTTTCTGTGTCCTGAGGTGTCTGCTGCTTGGGAGACCTCAGGCCTGATTCAGCAGCCTCACTTATTTGAACCTGTTCTATGAAATCAGATGACAGTGACCTCTGTACACAACTAGAAGGAAGGCTTGTTTTTGTTTTATTTTCTGTTTTATAATGCTTAGGTAACAGAAAAGGAATTGAGAATCTGGTTTGGACCTCTGCCTATCTTCCTACTCTTGCTTAGGTTAACTTTGTTCTTGGAAGGACAACTTCATAATCAATACTGACACTCTGCCCAGGCCAGATGAGCATCACCAAGTCCGTCAGAGAATACAATTTTTGGTACAGGCATCAGCCTCACTTTATTCCAGTGGTTCCTTTTGTTATAAAATAATCTATTTCTAAAACATGGCCTCTCTGAGTATCAACTTCCTAAACTAGAGAAATGGGGGCTAGTCCCCCCACTTCCTGAACAACAAATTGGCAGCATGGCCATGCCCTTGAAACAGAGGCATCAGTCTGTAGAAACCTCCTTGCACTGAAAGTTGTATCTGTTTACCTTGGCAAACAAACTGTATTTGGCCATTATTTGTGTTGTTTCACTTTCATACAGAGTAGACTGAAATATTTTGTTTTTGGAAAGCACGCACTAGCTGTGACATGGACAGTCACATCTACACGTTGGGCTTACTGACATGATTTCTTCTGCTTCAGCCTTAGGATCAGCAGGAAAAGGAAGCCGACTGCCTGACCTAGGATCTGACTACAAACCTCCAATGAGTGGTAAAGCCCTCTCTACGGCTTTTCAGCTTGCTATGAATATTATGAGGCTCTGCTTAAACCTTTTAAATACGTTTTATAGCTTCAGTGTTGGCTCATGGCATGCTAATGTAGCTCATTTTATTTAGTAGGCCTAGCTTTGGCCATTTTGTGGCACATGTTTCTCCACAGTCAGCTGTGAGACAAGGCTGATTCCTACTATCTCTAGGAAAGAGTTAGACTTTGAAAGGTCAGCCCTCTGGCAAGATTAGCCGTCACCTGCCACAAGCCAGAGCACTGCTTCAGAATGCCAGCACCTTCCTTACTGCACTGGTTTTGGCTTGGGAATTCTAGCAGAAAAATCTCTACTTTTTTTCCATTCTACAAGTAAGTGCCCTCAATTTATTAATACTTCCTTCTTGGTGGTGGAGATATGGTTAAGAGCACAGGCTGTCTTGCAGAGGACTCGGGTTCAGTTCCCAGCACTCAGATGGAGGCTTGCAACTGTCTATAACTTTAGTCCCAAGGGACCTGCCATCCTCTTCTGGCCTGCTTGGGCTCTGCATGAATGTGGTACACAGACATGCATGCAGATAAAACACCATACTCATTACATAAAAATCGATTATTTTTTTCCTTAAAAAAACACTTCCCTCCCACAGAATGTTACTCAGCATTTCTGAGTTACTTCACACTTGGGCTCACCTCTTATCCTCCACTGTGGGAAGTAGGGAGGACATGTTGAAGTATTCCCAATTAATATAGTAAAAGAATCAGTGGCGAAGTAGCGTGTCTAAGGCCACCCACTAATTCTAGCATAAAACCAAAATTCAGACCTCCGTCTTCTGATTGTACTTTTTTTCACTGTCATGCAGCCAAAAATGCAGGGGATTCTATGCCAGATGTAAGAGTTCAGGTAGTAAAATGTCCAAAAAGTACTTACTAAAATTGATTTTTTTTTTCCCCACTGTCTTCTCACTTCTAGCTAATAGACATATAGGAATAATGTCTTACTTTCTAGCTGTCTGTCTAAAGCTTATACTTCAGGGAAATCAGCTGACTTTTAGAAGAACCAGACAAATTTCAGTGCTTCAACAAGGTTGTGTGTGTGTGTGTGTGTGTGTGTGTGTGTGTGTGTGTGTTTGTGTGTAAGACGTTTTCTTTCTTTTTTAAATATTGTTTTTATTTTTATTTCTTATGTACCTTGGTGTTTTGCCTGCATATATGCCTGTGGGAGGGGGTCACATCCCTCGAATTGGAGTTACAGACAGTTATAAACTACCATGTGGGTTCTGGGAATTGAACGCAGGTCCTCTGGAAGAACAGCCAGTGTTCTTAACCGTTGAGCCATCTCTCTAGCCCCTCAAGAAGTTTCATACTATCTTTTTAGAGATTTCTCCTTCATGCATGTGTTATATGTTGGATTATAAATAGTATAGTATCAAGGTTGAAATTATTTCTTTGTCTTTTTTTTTCATTTATATATCTATTTATACGTTGTATTTTGAAGGTTCAGACTCCATAGCAGACTGTAGGAGAAAGAAAAGTTTAAAAAAGTACCTGACAGAAAAGTAGGAACACTTTATTCCTCTAAAGGGGTATTATCTTTCCCATATCCTAAAAGGCTGCATAGAAAATTGGGAGCTGGAGAGACTGCTCTATAGTTACAAGCACTTTCTGTTCAAGTAGTAGATTCGAATTCAGTTCCCGTCACTCAGTTCACGACCGCCTGTAACTATTTACAGGGGATCCATTGCCCAACTCTGGCCTCCACAGGCACTCACACACATGTGCACAGACCTTCACATACATAAACATAAATAAGAATAATCTTTAGAGGGAAAAGACTGCCAAATATCAAAGTGGACACCAGACGTTCTGGGAAGCTCTAGTAACACATGAAACGCAAAGCAGCAAGCACCTGCTCGCTGTAGGTCTCTACCGCTATAAGTGGAGCAGAGAGGTCCAGGTAAGTTCTAACTAGCCTGACAAAAGCCCACACACTTAGATTGCTAAGAAATCCGGACTTCATAAATCGCATATGTAGACTGCCTGACTACCGATACACTAAGACGTCCATTTATTTAGTATCTGCTATTATTAGTCTGAGAACAGTGAAGAACTGATTGAGAGCTAAGAAGGTATGAAGCCAAGGGGATAAAGATAAAGAAGTTGTTCTGGTAGTCCAAGAGACACATAAAGAAATGCATGTGATATGATCTCAGGCAAGAGAGTTGACAGCCCCTTTGGTGGCCCCTTCTTACTCTGTCTTAGACAGAAGCTTTTGTCCAACCTATATATTAGAAGTTAAATCCGGGGGTGGGGGTAGGGGGGTGGGATCAGGCTGTAAAGTGGTTAAATAAATAAAGTTAATAAATAAGTTGAATCCAAGTAAATGAAAATTTGTGTTGAATGCAGAAAAATAGCCCAGCACCATCAGCCTTTAGTTTTTCAGGGTGTCCCACCTTGCAAGAATCCAGCCCGGTTGTTCAGCATTTCTGTTGATAGTAAGGTTAGGTTAACAGTTTTAAAGGCTCTAGTACTGTAGTCTTTCCCAAATACAAAAATATTATCTCATTGAAGAGTAGTATGTACAATTTTTATATAGTTACTGTATATTGTAAGTTAAATTTGTGTCTGATATTCCATTGAGACACTACATTATCATTTTAATACTCTTTTGACATACAAGTGTATGTATCTGTGAACGCCATATATGTTGGTCTCAGAGTGTACAAGCAAAAAATTTTTGGAAAATCATGAGCCCAGTAGGCAAAGAAAAAATAGATATAGGTATTAATCAGAGATGTCTAATGAGAGAGTAGTAGCAGGAAATAACCTATACAGTGAAATAGTTAGAAATAAAATTATAAATTGAAAAAGGTAATGTTCTTTGCCAAAATTCTGAAAGTTATGATTAACCAAGAGGAATAAAAATAGAATCTGGTAGGTTGCTAACTCTGATGGGATGTGCTCAAATATTTAAATCAAAATAGATTAATACAACTTGCTAAGCAGACAGAGATCTCTCCTTGCCAGGTGTAAAATCTAAGTCTGTACAGTTTTAAGTTGCTTGCTTAGCTTTTTCTCAGAAATGAAGGATAAAAATGATTGAACCAAATGTAAAAGAATAAGCTCTTAAGCCATTCTAAATCAACCTCAGATTTAGCACTGTACTTAGATGTCTATAAAATCATAGAATCAAACTTGGAAGATCAGATAATCTAGTGTTGTTGGAAGGGATTCCCACACAAGGAGAAAAGGTTTGGTTTAGGAACCTAGTGGTCCTCTTACCAGCGTGGCCGGTTGGCTGGCAAGGCCTGGGATCAGACTGTCTCCGCCCCACCAGTACTGAGGTTATACTTGTACTCTACCATGCCTAGTTTTTATTTGTGTGCCAGGGATTCAGACTCAGGTCATGGCTGTCTCTCCAGCCCTGTTTCATGCCTTTCTTGATAACAGCATCTTCCACAACAGCCCACTTCTTAAGTACTTTGTTTCTGGCTGATTGGTTCGATACTTTTGAAACAGGATCTTATTCTGTATCCCAGATGTGAGCCTGGGATTCACTGTGTGACTGAAGTCAATTTACTGCCATTTTCCTGCTTCTGTCTTCAAAATGTCAGTATTGTAGATGCACGCCACCACAAGTCTAACAGAAATCATATGCCAGGCAAGGAACACCTCTTCAGTAGTGTTTCCTGAGCCTTCGGGCTTGCGGGGCCGGGATGTGATTCAGAAGATGCACTCAGTCACTTCTTCTCAGCCCTTGGAACAGTGATGCAGCTCAGTACTGACTGCTACACACTGCAGTGAGTTTAGCCCACAAATCTACAGATATGCCTCAGGGTCCTTCTGCTTCATGTTCCCTTCTCTAGAGCAGTGGTTGCCTATCAGATATTTACATTACAATTCATAACAGTAGTAAAATTACAGTTATGAAGTAGCAACGAAAACAAGTCTATGGCTAGAGATCATCAGCACAGCATGAGGAACTGTGTTAAAGGGTCGCAGCAATAGGAAGATTGAGAACCAGTGCTCTAGAGTGTCTTCCTTTGGGCCTTTGTATGATGGGAGCTTTCTTGTCTAACTATAAGCTCAAAAGCCTTTTCTAAGAGAAGTGCTTTTTAATGCATTTAATACAGGTAAACAGAAGAAAGCAGGTTGAATTTAGAGTCCAATTGAGTGTTCTAGAAGCTGTTTTCTGCACGGCTTTTCTACTCAGTCACTGTCTACAGGGTTATATAGGCACAGTCTCCAGGCCTTGCTTCTCCGGTATTGTGGGGGAAAGGGACCTTATGCTTAAGACAGAGCCACATTAGATTCAGAAAAGCTTTTTATTTTTTATGATTTATTTACTTATTATGTATACAGTGTTCTGCCTGCATGTGTCCCTGCAGGCCAGAAGAGGGCACCAGATCTCACTATAGGTGGTTGTGAGCCACATATGGTTGATGGGAATTGAACTCAGGACCTTTGGAAGAGCAGACAGTGTTTCTGTCTTCTGAGCCACCTCTCCAGCCCCTCAGAAAAGCTTTTCAACTACTTAGTCTAAGACAGCCACACAGTCACTGCATTGCAGCACTTCATTTTTTTCTTTTTTTATAGCATTCTCAACTAGTAGTTTCTTTCCTGTTTACTGTGTGTGCCGGCCTCCCACCCCCAGCACCCACACCTTTGCTAGTCACTGTTGCTCCTCGAATAGCTACAACAACTGGCACATAGGAACCACTTAGTGAAGAATTGTCAAAAAAAAACGTATGTGCAGACCTACTTCCTGCTGGAGTTGAAGAAGAAAATGGACTCTGTGTATGCACATGAGAAAAGATTATTTCTCGAATAGTGATTTTGTAACTTATTACATGTTAAGGAAACTTACTGCTTTGTATGAATATACATTTTATATGATTTTGAAAGAAAAACCCAAAAGATTTAGAAATGTTGGTTGTGGGGTGTGTGTGTGTGTGTGTGTGTGTACGTACGTGTGTGTGTGTGCGCAGAAGCTAAGTTTTGTCCACCTTTAAAGACAGGGTCTCTCACTGGGCTACAACTTTCCAGCAGGCTGGCCTGGCTGACCCCTGAGCTCCAGAGCCCTGCCTAGCAGGGCTCCACTTGCCTTGCTTCCCCAGCACTGGGGTTATAAATTTCTATCACCAAGCCCAGGTTTCTGATGGGTTCTGGGGATGGAACTGGGGTCTTTATGCTTGCAAGACAAACATCTTACCTACTGAGCTATCTCCTCAGCCCAGCATGGGACTTTTTTAAATGAGTTGCCCATCTCGCGAGACACCAGAGATGTAAGACAGTTGCTTCTCAGAGTGTATCTGAACCTTTGAGCTTAGAAAGCTCTAGAATGTCAGTTTACTTGAAGGTTTCATTGGATGCTATTCTTTGAGCAAACCTCTGTGCCAATCCTGCATATGGGGCAAACTGTCATGTTCTGAGGAACTTATCATCTAGAAATAGTTTTCTTGGCTGGCACCTTATGTGCTACTGTGATAACTGATAGGAAGTAAGGTAACAGGAGATACCTTGAAGGCTTGATAGAGCTGATTAAATAGGTGTTTTTAAGTCACCTAACTTACATCTGCATCCTTTTTCCTGTGCAGGCAGCAACAGCCCTCACGGGAGCCCAACCTCCCCTCTCGATAGCAGTATGCTGCTGGTCATCATTGTCTCTGTTGGTGTCATCACCATTGTGCTGGTTGTGATCATCGCTGTCTTTTGTACCCGGCGCACCACTTCTCACCAGAAGAAGTAAGGATTCCTAAAATGTAACTCATAAACTTGTAGCATTACACGCACACACACACATATATATGTATATATGTATAGGCTTTTGCTTGATTTTTTTCTTCTTATGTGTTGCCTCTGTTTTTAAAGTGATGCAAAGAGTTAAAAAAAAAACCCATAAAGTACTTGAAAAGCCACTTTAAATGCAGTCATGCCCCACCCCTACACACCCATCAGTGTCTCAGGGATTTCGCACATTGTGACAAATCCCGTAACATTTTAATGGAGCTGAAATATTCCTACTATCTACCCAGCAAAAGATTGAACAAGACGCAAGAGAAAAAGAAAACATGGAAGGAGGAGGAAAAAGAATTCCCAAGAAATGTGTTTAACAGGCTTTTGTGAGCCTCAACAAGCTCCTTAAAAAGTTTGAAAACTGAGGGGGCTGGGAAGCCAGCTCAGCAGTTAAGAACATGCACAGCTCTTGTAATGGACACAAGTTCTGTCCCCAGTACCTGCTTTGGGTGGCTCGTAGCCTCCTGTAACTGCAGCTCCAGGGGAATCTGACGCCATCTTCTGCTCTCTGCAGAAGTGTACACATAGTTAAAAATAAAAATCAATTTTTAAAAAATAAAAACTTTGAAAACATCTTTTTCTGTCCCAGGCCAAAAGTTTGCATCTACAAGCAGGAATGTTCATGGTGTTCTGTTTGTAAGTGAAAAAAAAAGAAAAGAAATCTGTTGAAGAAAGGAAATAAATCAAACAGCCCACCATAGACATTTCTGAGTAAGGAGAGCTGATTTAGAACGGGGCAGGTCCTCAGAAGAGATTGTAGAAGGTGCTGTCAGTCCTAGGAGACCACACAGTAACATACGTGCTGTTGCCCCCAAAGACCTTCTTGTAGGGCGAGCCATGAATATAAAGACAGTGGCAGCAGAGATCGGACTCTGTACAGTCTAGGCCAATCTGTACGTTTGTGTCCTAGTGTTTTATAATCTGTAGTGTGTGTGTGTAGGTGGGTGAAGGTGCCTACAGAGCCCAGAGACATCTGATCCCTCTGGAAGAAGAGTTATAGGAGGTTGTGAGCCAACCCACAGCAGTACTGGAAAACACATTCAGGTCCTCTGCAAGAGCTGAGTTGAGAGTCATGCTGTTAACTTCTGAGCCATCTCTCAAGCCCTGTGTCTTTTAACAGCAGTAACAACAAAAATGGTTTAAAAACTAAGGGCCGGGAATATGTTTCAGTGAGTAAAGTACTTACAATGCGAACGTGAGGACCAGAGTTCAAGTCAGTACCTGCTTTATAAAACAAACTCAGCAATGTGCATCTCTAACTCCAGCAATGTGGAGTAGAAGGGGGTAGACAAATAGATCCCTCAGGCTCATTGGCCAGCCAGCCTTGTCCATCTATGAGCTCTGGGGTTAGTGATAGATCCTGTTTCAAAGAATATGGTGTGTGTTTTTTTAATTTTATTTTTCGTATTAGTTACATTTTGTTCACTCTGTGTCCCAGCTGTATCCCGCTCCCTCATTCCCTCCCCAATCCCACACTCCCTCTCTGGTCTCCTCCCTGCCCCTTTCCAAGTCCACTGATAGGGGAGGACTCCTCCCCTTCCATTTGACCCTGTTTTATCAGGTATCTTCAGGGCT